TTCTTGCTGGATGCATTGTTATAAGGATAGTTAAATGAATATGTTGATTATTTCATGTTAACAAATAACTCCGGCTCCGACAAACAGGATTTGAGTTAATAATTGGCAAAAGAAGCGCTATGTTTGTATGAAAAATATATCAGGCAGAATCAAAAGAACTCAAAGATGTTATTTTTATTATTCGTATGATGTATAGATTGTATAAATGAGATTCTCGGGGGGGGGGGGGGGAGGCAGGTGTTGATAAAGAGGTAAATGATGCCACAGGAGTCAGAGTATTGTGAAAAAAGACCGAAACGCAAGGAAAGAGATAAGGTTGTCCGTAGAAGTGAAGGAGAAATGACACGGTCATTTATACAGCAGATGCGCCGCTGCTGTAACTATTGGACCATTTTGTTAGCGAGAAATGACTGACGCCTGTGAAACGAGGTGAACAGACAACTAAACGAAAAATTAAGTTCACTCGAGATCTATCATTCATTTTTAGTATTTAACTGCACGTGAACTTTTTTGTTGAAATAACGGGAAAACTATTGTGTTTAAAATTTTTACTCGCCAAAAAAATAGAAGATGTTTTCTGAACCGGGTTTTCTCATTAATGGCTCTTTTTTTTATCTCGTACAGTACAGTGAAAACAAAAAAAAAACAAAAAACCCCATTTTTCCTCTTTTCCATTCGTTACTTTAATTTCAGTGGTAGTAAAAACGAAGCCAAAAACCGCGTTTTTAAAAAGTAAAACCTTAATCTCAAAGTCCAGACACCGCGGGGCTCGGTGTAATTAAACACCATACGCAAGCTCTCGCATAGCACTTAAAAAACAAAGCCCAGAGTGAAAAAAAAGAACGAAACCGCGAGCGACAAGGAGACAAACGAGTCTCGAAATTTTCAAAAAAAACGCGAGTCCCCCCGCGAGGCGGTCCCTGGCTCGGAAATCAGAGTTTCGGGAAAATCACGCGAGCGCGTGCACACATATACACTGACTTTAATTAAAACGGCCGACGCGACGGCAATTTAAATTTCATTACGGCTCGCGTGTCCTGCTTATCGCAACACGTGGGGATGACAAAAGTGCGGCGGCAGGGGAGAGGGGAGCGAAAAGTAGTCGCGACAACGAAAATGAAAACGCGACACAGGGAGGTGGAGGAGGAGGAGGAGGAGGAGCTATGACGAGTGGATAATCGGGCAATTTTCGGGACGCAGAGTTTCAATTTATGCTCGACGCCCCGGCATATACCACCTCCGCATCGCTTGTTTCGGCGATTTTCCATTGCGAGGTATTGGCTCTTTTTTGGACGGGGAGACGCAATTGTGATTAATTTCCAATCGACGATTTTACACTTCATAAAACACTCGTTTGATTTTCCAAGCAGAACTATAACTCTTTATACACGGAAAAAAAAAAAAAAAACCAGGATAAGGGGAGCACGCTTGAAAAAGAGGACGAATGTGGGAAACAAAGCCAAAGAGGATACGCAAGTACAGCCGCAAAAGGGGAACAAGAGCGTGAATCAGGTCATGAGTATACCTACGCGCGCGCGTTCTGGCCCTTTTCTTTTTTATTACCATCCCCTTCTCGTTGAGCAAATGTTTACGCATGTTTTTGCTCCACGCAGGGAAAATGGAATCGCCCGAAGGGAGAAAAGGACAAACAAACGCGGACTTTAATTTCGCTCATCGCGATGGGGTTGTTGTATATTCGAGCCCGGGATGAATAGCGTGCGAGGAGGAGATTTTTGGTGGTCAACTGGTCGGAAATATTACTTGGGACTTGGACGTGACATTCAACGTTCGGTAATGGGACGCATCTTTGCGTGCTTGGCTATTACATTTCGCGTTCATTGGAATCACTTAGACTCACTTTTACACAGTGAAGATACGGTATAGGCCAATTGGCCAATATTCTCATGTTAGATTGGTTTCTTACTTTTCATCGTTGACAGATCATTTGCGATGCATTTGTTTACACGTGTGGAATGGACAACAACGATCTCTCACGCATGGTATATAAAAGATAAGAGGAATGGCCGTATTAACTGCCCACTTCCCACGAGAACGCAACTTTCCCGTCGAGCGTCAAACGTGACCAGCGTCATCCCCAAGGGAGAAGACAACGCCCAAGCCTGACCACGTCAACTTTAGCCCCGACAATTACAAGTTCTACCGCTGCACAATCCCGACAGCGTGCAGACACGAGGCCAGGCGTCCAAGTTGTTCCTGTATAGTCGTTACGATTTGTGACTCGAGGCAAACGCTTACGGTGCAGACAAATCGGACGCGGGCCGGGATTTTACAATCATCCAAGAGTTTTTAACGCGAAGCTTATAATATATAGTCCTGTACTTTCATTAAAACGATTACGAGGTATGTAGTACCTAATAAAACCGTTGAAACGGCGTTTACCGGTAAATTTGACACGAGCTCCCGAGGTTCGAGAGAAAGGCTGTCTTTTTAGGATGTAGGTACATCTTGGAAGCAAAAAGAAAAAAAAAAACATCCATAATCTCTGTTGTGCAGATGCGAGATGCCGGTGCTTTCTCGAGTTCCGTGGGATGGATTTCCAGGGATTATATACAACGTGTCCGGTTGGCTACCGACCAAGGGCTGATTATCATTGCAGGGAACGCCTGTGGGTAAGAAAAAAATCAGCTGTAGAGTGTACCTACGTTTTAGTTTTCGAGGTAACTGCAAAGGACTTGTGTTTAACATCGTGAAAGCTCACGTGATGGTATATTTATATTTTCTTGCACAAGAGCTTTTTTTTCCCATCCCGTGTAATGTATTATATGAAAATCTCACTCACCGGGAGATCCTCGCAACAAAACAGCACTTCTCGGGGATACACACCGTCCATACATGAATTAACTATACGAACACTCGAGGCGCGGGTGCAAAGTGCGTCTGCCGTACATAATGCAAGCGTGTATACACACGCCACACTGCAGGGCGAGCGCTTCATCCCCCCACCCACCCGCGGAGCCTCTCCGGAGGCGAGATAAAGTTAGGGAATGAGGCCGCGGAGATGAGCTATACTGTGCACGCACCCGACCACTCCCGAGCAAGTGTAAGGTGCAAAACTATTTTAAAATCGATCGATCACCGGGGCTGATGTTCGTGCTGTCGCGTGTGTGTCCGGGTATACGATGGGGCGATGGCTGGGAAGTTTCGAGTGGGACGTGTCGGTGAGTAATGCGGATTCTTCTCAGCGAGAGGACTCGTATATATATATCTTTTGTTGAAGCTGATGGTTTTATTCTGTTGATGCGACTCGTAATTAAAGTTTCAGCTGATGAGGTGCAGCGCGTACGAGTAAGTTCCGATGTAAAAATGTATGATCATTGGAACAAGTACTCGTACGATTTTTTACAAGTGCTCATATCAAAAAGTACACTTCTGGGTGATTGCACACTTTTGGTACTCCGAGTACAAACGTATACCCAAAAGAAGTTTACTCCCAAGGTAAAAAGAGCCGGAGGTATGGATAAATTATACAATTAATCCTCAATTACATCCCACGGGCTACTGGACAGTAAATACATGTATATGTATGTACACGTACAGAATGTGACCGAGAAAGAACCAAGACGAGAATAACTAGTATGTAAATTCGACTGATCAGCGTACATACCAACATGCGCTATTGGATTACAGATGACCAATCGAGTTTAGGGATCGACTGTACCGTTTGCACTTATGTACGATGGATTAAATAATTATCTCATTTTCTAATCTTCATCGCAGCGCAGTTGAAAAGAGGGCCAAATACGTCCAACTTGTCAAAAGAGCAGACATAGCTGTGCTTCAAAAATGGTGAGGTCGTGGAGCTTACAGCTTCACGTTTTTGTCTTGTTTGTTATTTATTACGAATGAAGCACTCACAGTTTTTACAGTAAAAAGTTTCAAAAGTACAATTATATTCAGTGTTGTAAATGTTTAACTCAAAAAACCACGGGGCTTGGGGAAAAATTGAATCGAACTGTTTTTCTTTTTTTCAGTGAATATTTAAATCAGTTATTTTTTCCATAGATTTTCATAAAATGCATGAAAAATCTCATAGGAGCTTGCGAGAGTTTTCTCATTCTCTAGAGACACGCGGAAGATGCATCAGTGTTCCAGAAAATGTTATTTTGTCCTGTTTCCAGTTATACATGCATCGTTCGAAGGACTGTCACTTCGCGAGTAAAAAAAAAAAAAAAATTACAAAAGCACACACACGCTCGTGCTGTGTAAGGCCACCTGTCCATTGTGTCGCATACGCGATCTATTTTTACACGGGGATAAAGTCACAGCGAATAAAAAAAGAAAGAGGATAAACCACGACGCGAGTCACATTTGAAAAATGCACTCGTAGAAAGAAGCGGCCGACTATTTTTACACGCACATTTGAAAATCGTACTCGCATCAGCGTACCTACATCGAAATAGGGGATAACTTTTCGAGACAGCTTATTCTCGTCGATTTCTGTGACAAGGCCTCTTTGAGTTTAAAAAATGTTTCCCTGGGAAATCCTTTGGCCCGGCAAAATGAAATATTGAAAAAAACGTCGATGGACTCTGTCGGCATTTGATAATGTAAGTATATAGAGTATATGCGGGAAATGAAAAGCTAAAACACATTTCCGCGCAATTTTGAAAAAGAAAACTAAAACATCGACGCGTTGTACAACAACAACCATCGAAATTCAATTCCCAAAGAAGCCAATCTCGCGCGTATCGCCACTGAAAGAGGGAAAAAAAACTCTATACCTCTCCAGCTACTGTAATAGTCATTCACGCGGGAGTACAACGGAAGACCCTATACGCGCGTCAACCATCTCGTATGAAAAACGCCGATGATAATATATACAATGTGCATAAATAAGCACCAAGTGATGTGCAGATGTAATATTCTCTCTCTCCTCTGTGTGTACTCCTCCTCCTCCACAGGAGAGTGCGCAGTAGGAGCGGCCGGCGGAGCGGCGCAAATTCGAAAGGCCAGCCGCATCAGTTGGCGTTCGCGCGCCGCGCGATACACACACGTTCCCTTCATTCATTTTCAGTCTGTCCATAACCGAGTGTTTCTACTGGGGTACAAATTTCGCGCCATGCGGTGAAGTTTGTCAGGTGCAACAATCCCAAAGTGATGGTTTTTTTTTTTTTCTTCGATCGTTTGATCAATAGAGGAAGGAGAAGTGGATTTGGCGGTCGAGTCACGTGCACGTGAACGAGAGTAAGGATATACCTGATGTCGAGCCCGTGTGATTATGCGAAAGTGAATCCCTGGTGTACTTACATTCGAGCGTATGATTATTATGTTAACAGGTGTCGCGATGACGTTAATGATCGACGTGTTTTTTTTCCTTTTTTTCTTCGTGTACTCGTTATATATCTATTGGATCATCGGTTACTTGAAACGATAACACGTGCGATACCTATACTTATACCCTATATACCGTGCAAATGATAATCAGTAGCGGTATCTATGTTACGAAACATCGAAGAAGCAACTATCTTAGGGTCAATTTCGTATCTCGAGTATCAAGAACGTCGTTAGCCCTGTTTTTCAATATCTGTATAGCGTTGGTGTACAAAACGAAATATTCCACGAAAGTACAAGCATACCATGATAAAAGAGAAAAGAAAAGGTAACTCGCGTCAATTGACTCGTGCAGAGAGTGTCTAATAGAGATATTAGACTCGAAAACCCATCCCGCGCTCGCGTGTTCGTGTATAAGTAACAGAACTCTCGCAGAGCAGCGCAATGATACATTATACACTGTGTACACACCACACACGTATATAGGTATACCTACTTACATGTTATACGCGCACACTCGTCTTGCGATGAAAGAGTAAAAAAAAAAAAAAAAATTGTTTCCATCTCGAGCTGAGATGAGCATCAGCACACGTACACACACGTCTGTAGGTATATACATATATGTACCAAAGTCTGGAATGCAGATACAACCCGCGTGGAGTATCGTGTATAAGCTGAGCGTCGCATAAATCCTATTTGAGACTCGTTGGTTCTCCTCGGTCACTTTTGTAAAGCCGCCTCGGCTCGGATAATGAATTATCAGAGGCCGACTCGCTTCGCCCACGGATACACGAGGCGCCTTACATACGTATATTAGGTGTATATATATACGCGCGCGCGTCTCATTGTCCGCGGAGCTTGTGTGCAGATGCATGCTTACGATTGATCGATCCCTTTGATTAAACGACGGCTCTTTTTTCTTTTTTTTTTTTTTGCATAAACGCAAATGTGCTGCTTATTGCATGTACAATACCGTCAAAGTACGTGCTGTAACGCGATCGTTATCTTGGCGAATGAAAATTCAGGGTATGTAATTGAGAATGGGCTCTCGTACCTGCTTTGATGATTCACCGAAAATTGGAAAATTGACGCGACTGAGCTGTCGTGTATGGATACAAACGGGTGCGCATTATCGTTAAACTTATGTGATGGCCTGTTGATCGAGTCGATGGTCCAAAATCGATTTTGGAATGGGGTATTGTGTATTTTTAATAAATCGTTTGTACCCGTGAAATTGTCCGATTTTAATGGTTCCCGGGATGGAAATTACTCTCCGAAGAGAGAAAAACCTCGTCGAGCTGTCGATTCAAATCGTCCCTCGTTCGTGTTTGTTGATTAAAAAAAAAAAAAAAAAAAAAAAGATGTTTTGTTTTCCGTTACAATTAACCACAGTACGCAATCACTGTTTTAACAGCTTTAATCGTCACTCGAGCTCGAAAACACCGTCGTAGCAACGCAATAATAAAACTCCTTATCTCGCGAAGCTACAATACGTGTAAAAACACACAGAGCAGCCACCAACACAAGGAGCCTTTCGGCGAATCGATGGAAAAGCGCCGATAAGCGCACATCGTCCAATTTATATACTTTACTGGCTACTCTCCCTCTCTCTCTCCGCGACCGTTATGTTACCATTCGCGCACGTGTGCGCCAACAGCTGCACACGCCTTTGCGAGCATAAAATATGCAAACTCGGGGTGTACATGCACATGCGTTCGCGCAAAAAATGACGAGGCAACGCGGGATGAAAAATTTCGGGGCAGCTGCGCGCAGACCATGTGTGTCGCAATACCCTTCCTTACGTATATACTCTTTGTTTTTGGGATTTCGCTCGCCTCCCCGCAATTTCGTCGGGACTAACCAAGTATTCATACGCTTTTGGCCCCAATTTCCTTTGGCACTGCAATTTGCCATCAAATATCAAACGAGCGCGTGCCCGCGTAAATACACTCGCGAAGATGCATCTCCTTACCACGGGTGACGCAGCTGAAGCCAGCTCGGGTGCGCGTTGTTGCTCCGGGGGGGGGGGGGTAACTGTTGTTGTTTATGAAACTGTGGGCGCAGGCCAATATCAGGTCGGATTTCGAGGCGAGCGTGATCCAGTGTATATACCGTTGTTGTGCGAGTCGGTAGTCAAAGCAGGCTGCGCGTTTCCGCTGCTTGCGGGATGTAATAGGAGAGCTCCGGGGGACTCGGTTGGTGATAATGCGGAGAGAGAGAGAGAGAGAGAGAGAGATCGTGATATGTATTGGCTGTAAAGTGTCGCTGGTTTTTTTTTTTCGGTCCCTCGAGGGTCAGTAACCTAGACTTTTCACTTGACCAAAGAAAAAAAATAGCACAGCTATAGCCACGTAGAGATGAAATCGGTATGCCAGTGCTCGCGTATAACGAGAGCGATAAGGAAATCAGACGGCGACACGGTGCCTGTGTATGTAGGTATATATATATACACGTAATGCGAAACATCTGCTGGCGGCGGTGAAAAATCCAAGACTAGTGTAGATACGTAGGTATACCTACGAATAAAATGGAACGGAGGGTGCATTAATAATATACGTATGCTCTCGGCGAACGATACATTCTGCACAGTCGCGGGAGATAAGAGATTACGACGAGTGAGTTTGTATATGCGTGCATTACCTGCAACGTGTTGTATAGAGAACACATCTGAATTTTTTTTTTGTGGATAATGTACGGTTGTACAGTGAATTTGCGGCAAAGACGTGTACGTATGAGGCTTCGTTTTAATTAATCATGGAAATATATAATTATACCAAGTGATGCTGTGCAAAGAAATTTCTTTTTTATCTCATACGTCTACCAATGTTCACAGCGTAAAGTGTGGGTTATGTACCTTTAATCGAAGGTTTCTCAAGTAAAGGACACGCTGAAAGTGACTCGAAAAGTAGGTAATGAGGCTGATTAAAACGATATGGTATGGTATGTGTAGCCGAGAGGAGGAAAACCCAATATATTAAATTATCGGATCGAATTGCACTTGATTATCAACTATAGGTACGACGTACTCTATTTTTCATATTTTTCAGCGCGTTTTAATTCAAATTAACGGTATCGTTAACGTTCCTCGTATACATCGTGTAACAAAGTACGTCGAACAAAGTAATACAATGTGCCAAGCGCGCGTATACACAATTTTAATTGAGAGCACGAAAACAATTGATTTATCAATTGAGAAAATTTACTTTACGAGCGCATCGCGACAAATCGCAATATCACTCGATGAGTCACCCGTTCGGTAAAACAACGTCGGTGTGCACCAGAAAAAGGAAGCAAACATCCTTACGATAGATTGTAAAATTCAACAAAGATTCCCTTCCTCGATGTCGTACCTGTCGATAACACAACTCCGACCGCGAGCCTCTGGCCTTTTTGGTCGTGTCCCGAAAACGAGGTGCTTTGCATTCAAAAAGCAGCTCTTAAGAAAAGGACCTTCAGCCCCACTCGATCCTCCAAAGACGCAATTTCTTCTACTTTGGGTCTCTCTCGGTGACAATCGCTCCTTCAGGCGCACTTGAAAATAAATGAACAATCAAACCACGTACAGTCGCATTCGATCTTTTTTTTTTTTTTTTACCCCTTCTAAAGTATACAAGGCAATAGGTATATGCAACAAGGAGCACGGGGGGGGGGCGAACAAATGGACTCACTATATATGTGGCGTTAAATAAAGCTCGCGAGTTAACGACGCGTGGGTATACAAGAAACCCGATACGCGAGTCTTATCTTCATCTCGTTCTCGCGCCTATTTGTATCGCCTGTACACACATACAGTATATATGTACGCGTATCGTGCGAGCGAAGCGTTGTTCGAATTACGAGCGACGCGAATGAAATCCTCCCGCGCACACATGCGAAGCAACAGCGATTTGTTTCGCAATAATAATTTTAATGCGCCGTTGCATTGAGCGACAAGCCGATCGGTCAGCTTGAACATGCCTGCGTTTATACTTGTATGCTGTACATGTATATACCATGTGGTATAGGTACACTCGCGATAAGCTCCTTCGTCTTCGTCATCCGTCGCCGAGCGTATAATTATACATACCTAGAGAAAGTTTTGAAGGCTCGTTTGTTAGTTAGTAGGTATACAGGGTATTTTAAATCAACGTGAACGAAGGGAGGAACTGTGGTGTACGACAAAAAAAAATTACAATCAAACGCAAGCCAGCGTTGTATAGGTACATATAATTTTGTCTCACGCGACGATTTCTGGTCGGCGTGTTCTGCTCAACGTGTCGTACCCTCATTTGATAAAAATAATAAAATAAACCAGTACCTATACTAAAACCTCAACACTCGTGCTGATTCCTCTCCCGAAGCGAATATAGTGTGAATGGCCGTATACTGTCTCGTAGCTGGAGTATAATATAAACAAGGAGATGATTACTTACTCTCCTCTACTTGGGACTCGGCAAGTTGTGGTGCCACTTTAACCACCTATACAATATAAGCGACAGCAGTCCATGGGCTGCGAACGAGTTGATTTTTATTGGGCGAGGGCGCTGACTCGATTAAAATATATGTACCAAGCAATTGTGCGGGTGTGCAGTGTATCTCTTTGTTAACATCACTCCCGTTCAAGGGGTTACTTTGGCTTTTGCGAGTGTTTGCGTGTGACTCCTTGTTTTCGAAGATGTAAAGGGTAAACTTAAGATTCGCCAATAACAACTGCAACACGAGCGTCCAAGATTTTTCCGGCGCTTTTCGTCCGCTCAAAGATTCTATCCATACCCCATCTATGTATATACGTTAGATTGAAACTGAAGTGGAAGCTATATATGTATATATGGCGTAGGGCACAGGTAAAACCAAAGCCCTGCAGGTATATAAACATCTTCAGAGTAGAGTAGGAAAAAAAAGAAACCCGTTTCCCAACCGTGTGTACGCCACGATTATTGATTGTTGTTCCCATTTTTCATACTTGCTGCAGAGAAAGAGAGAGTCACGAAAGCCTCGGAAAATGAAAATGAATAAATCGACGGACGCGACTTACTTACGTTTTACTTATATACATAATGCCTCGCGCGTCGTTACGCAAGATTTCAAAGAAAAACAAAATGACCAGACGTTCCTCCTGGTCGACGCGCTCTTTGGGTGGGATTTGAAAATAATGACCGTATGATCGAAAAGTTTCGTCTTTTGCATAAATTTTGGCATTTTTCACTGTTTGCACTGTTTATTTTGTCGACCAATTTATTACACTTGGAGGAAAAAAATTATACAGATTTAAAAAAGTGAAAAAACATCCGTGCTCAAGTCCGAAACCCGCCGACACTTGAAGAAAAAATTGCCAAAACCCCCTTGTATCGCAAAAAAGCACATACGCTTTCTCGCACTTGTTCTACCAAAAAGTATATACACGTGCGAATGGAATTTGTTTTTCTCCAGCACCGCAACACCGCCGCGCATCTCCTGTTACCGTATATACACTCCCACGCTTCCAGAATCTTTAAAAGCTCTCTCCATTGCACTGCGGTTCGGCGCACCGAATACAGCGCGCGGAACTCAAACATCCGCGTCTGCTCGGGAATAGAAGCGAAATAGAAGAAGAGAGAAAAGTGTAGCACCGAGTGGAGCAACTAGCCGTGCGCGACGCCCCCGAAATCGCTCGGCGCGGTGCGGGTTGTTGAAAATACGTGACGAGCTTGCGAGAAGCTTCCAGAGCCAATTCGCATCGCCTCCGAGCTTTTTTCCTCCTTCCTTGTATAAATATACGCTTACTTCCTCGGATCGTTTATTGTTTACGTTTGCGTTTGCGTGTTTTGGATATACTTACCTTTTTTTTTTTGCGCGATGATGAAAATTTCAATTACAAGCGTTCGACGTAAAGCGCGGATTTTACTCGATTGCCCCACGGCGATTTTCTTTTTTGCGCACATTCGTCGATCAACGCATGAATTTTCTCTTTTGCAACGGCGTTTTATTTATCTTTGAAAATTTTGTATCGATCGTTTGAGTGATGTACAAAATTTTTCGGAAAAAAAATATACACGCGCGATTCGTATAAGGTCAACCTGCCCGTAAGCATGTGAAAATGGGTGTCACCGGTGCGTTTATATAATGTACACACGAGTAAACTTTTCGAAATGCCGAGCTTTGTTTCCCTTGCACTTGGAACGCGTGTCGAAAAGTTTGCGACACATAAAGTACCTATACGCATCTGTGTACAAAACTCGAGTGCCGATTTTTGGAATTCGAGTACTTGTGACGTGCTTTTAGTTTGCTCCTCTACTGTTTGTTTACGCCCGTTGCGCAATACTTACTCTCAGAAATGAAATGTTTAACTTCAGTGTATAGGTATAATCGAGTGAAATTATATGCTGACTGTTTTTCTTTAATATAATCGATCCGAAAAATAAGAAATTTCCAACCAATGAAAGACGAACCAACGCGGCGTTTTTTTCTCAAGTAGACCGTGAAGCGTTATTTTTACGCGCTCGTGGATACGCAAAAATTCACGCGGGACAGTGCACGATCCACGCTTCGCTGACGCTAGATTGCACATGGCGCGCGATACCCTCCTCCCTGTTGTTACCTGGAGTGGAAGTTACTTTGTGAGCTCTTTTTTTGTAGAAAAAAAAAAAAAAAAAAAAAAAAAAAAAAAAAAAACAAAAAAAAAAAACTGATAGTACCAACGCGACACCCCGTATTGTTTTAAATGTATGGGTATACGCACCCCTCTTAACCGGAAAATCGGTCGAAAAAAAAAAAAAAAGAATTCAAACGAGTACGCAATGGTGTAGAGACGTATGCTATACCACGAGTATATAATATTTATGGTCCACTCGATGTATTTTTCTAGGGATACGTGCCAGCTGACCATTAGGACGCAGTCGATCGTAGAGGGTCGGGAAAACCACAAGGCCCGAGGAGACAGAGGAACAACGACCGACTACCGAAACACTTGAACCCGTCACAAAGCCACCGCGCACCTCATATTCCTGTATGCATTATTTCTCGAACCAGCCCTTCGAACGACCTCCAAACGACTTGTCCCACAAAGCACTTTTAATCCTCGCTTGTTACAGTATACACATGCAGAGCGAAGAGGAGGTCCTCAGCCTCCGCCAAAGGGGGTGCGACGGAGCCGACACGTGATCCCTGAAACCGAGCGCGCGTGCCTGCCGGCCCTCATACGCTCCACGTAATATATTTATCGTACGGAGGATGGCGTGACGCCGGCGCGTGTACCACCCACACAGGAGGTTACATGTACATTGTGCGTAATGTACGGGGGTAAAATGTGTCGCGCGCGTGCGAAATTACCGTCGCTTGTGGTAAGGGAGCACCGGGGCCGAGGGACGATGACCCACTGCGGACGGGAGAAACGCCTCCACGAGTTGCTACTGCTGCCCGTGGAGTGACGATAACCACGCGCGCTGGTTGTGATTCAAAAAGAAAAATCATTTCAAATCCACCCGCCCAAAGTGCATCGGGGGAGATGGCCGCGACGCCGGCACTGGTCCTCCTCCTCTGTACCCTAGTGCTACTACCTGCAGCCTCGGTTACTCCCGGGGCGATGGACCTGGTTATACGCAACACCGCCAACGGGGATATGCCCGCGGGGAACACTGACCGAGACGACGACGTCGCCAGGAGCAGCGGGACGGACAAATCGACGGAGCTGCAGTCCAACCTGCACGGCTCGATGTGCAGCAGGTCCGGCAACAAGATAAGCTGCGATTGCAAGAACGACGAGAAAAAGGTAATGTTTTACCAGTAGGGCGTATAATATAAATGTATGAACCCTTTTTCATTGCTGATTCAATCAACTGTATAAATGGGATTCGGGAGGTATACGTGTAGGGCTGATGTTGTTTGTTACTCTGCAACGATACGCAACTGGTTTGGGAATCGGGATCGTTTTGATGTCGCGTAATTTTAGAGCGATGAGCTCGAGAAGAAAGAGAGAGGGAGAAAAAAAGAGAATCATATAGTTGCAAAGCAAGCACATGTTTATAACCGGAGTAGGAAACGAGCGCGACCGCACTAGGCGAGTTGGGAGTAGGGTTCAAGTTCACAATACTGGATGTAATGCAGGACGCGTTTGGGGGGGGGGGGGTGGAAAGAAAAAGAAGGGAAAAAAATAAAACAAAAAAAAAAGAACCTCTGAAATCTCCTAAGCACAAAAGACGACGGGATCCAAATACGAGAAAGAGGAGAGAGAAAGATAATACAAGTCGTACAACCAACATCGGGGAGACAAAGAGTTGCGAAAAAAACCCGCACGAGAGGTATAAGTTTCGGTCTGTCTCGTTTCCGTTTAGTACTTCTTACATTATTTTTCTCGTACCTATATACTGTTGTTATTGTTATCGTTTCATTTAGACACGGATTATTTTATTACAGGCGCGTATTGCGTGTCGCACGAGATAAAGAGAGATTATCGCTCGATGAAAAAGGAAGTGGAGCTCGATGTCTCTGAAAACTGATTCGCGTATACGCGTACGATGAGTCGGTCAAAGGGATATGTACTGACAGAGGATGAGACATCGAGCTGTCTTTTATCCCTATATATGCTATAGAAAAAAAAAGCAGCTCCCTTTTGGTAGTTTTTTATTTTTTTTTTTGGGTCACACGCAGAGAAAAATCTCGAGCGAGAAATACCGACGTGGAAAAAAGGTCACGCGAGCATCATTTTTTACATTACTCGCCATGACATATAGCCAAGCTACACTTGCCCATGTCCAAGCGACTCACGTCTCTAAAAGTACGAAAAACTTGTGTTGACGAATGTGACACGGGGTGAATACTATATGCCGATCATCAATGTGGTCGGTTTTTTTGTCCACAATATGCACAGATTTGCCAAGTAATTTTTGACACATCCTCTCGACACGTGAAAAATTACGCAACAGCGTCACAGCTCTGCCCGAAAATTTTACGCTTCGCTTGTTAGCGCGGAGACGTCAAAATATAGCGTTCACGGCCGCCTCCCTGGAGTAATATTGTACACATGAGCAGCTGGTTGCGCAACGCGTAGTAGGTACCCGAAGATCCGAGTATGAATAGGAAGAAAAATCGGCCGTTTCAACATGTATTTCATGCTAGAGCGAGCGCCGGTGAGCAATTACACCTGTACGGTACGATTTAGGTATATTTCGGGGAAGAGCACAAAATTTTCGGCGTTTTAATCAAAATATCGATTAGATTGGTGGTTTCACTTTGAAACGCGAGTATGATTGTGGGAGCTCGGTTTTCACGCTAATTTTGTTAACCAGAGCCGGAAGATAATGAAAATCATATTGTATAAAAACTCAATTCGCGGGAAAACAATAAATATCATCGTCCACGATTCGGTCCGATAGTACCTACGAGAGAAGCACAACCGAATTAAAAGTCGAGAGCATAATATCTTTGCTCATCCGAGCTAATAAATTTCACAAAAAACGGGTACACCGTCTCTATATAGATGGTATCACAGACGACTTGCCGCGAGGCAAACAATGACGCAGCGGTTACGCGGACCGAGAAGTCAGACGCTATATGCACAGATAGTGCTTCGGAAGGTATCCGAGTATAGAGAGACCATAACAACGTGAAACGCGAAAGCCAAAGGCGATTGGAATAATAATGATCGTTGCTTCCGTTCCTCTTTTACGAGTTGCGGGCTTTTCAGTGGTCCAGAGCTCAAGTGGCCCTTTCCTTCCGCTGTTTGCCTCGATGTCGAAAAGAAGCGGCACCCACGGTCCTACTCCCCAACGATCGTAAAGCTTCGAGGGCGGGGGCGTTTACGATGTACACAGTCGCGATGCACGTTTGCCCCATGGGTGCCTCCACCTTGAGATTCGTCCTTATACTTTGGTTGCAGCATCCCGAGCAGGAAGGTTTTTTTAAATTTCATTTTACTACCTTAAATTTATTGTCACGTGGCTGAGGCCCCTTTTTGTGATTAGAACAGATCACGTGGCAGGGTTTTTGTTTTATAAAAGTCAATTGCATTAGAATTGTAGGAGATACAATTATTATTTGTCAATTCATATTGTTTGAATACCAAAGTGTCGAAGATAAAAAAAAAAAAATTTTACTCGTTTATGAAGATTGAACAAACAAAAAAAGGTAAACAATATTTTTGTGGTGTGTACTGGCACCAGTTGGATGATGCAAGATGGTCACAAGAATAATAAGACCATAATGTAAAAGTTAGGCATTTTTTGTTTTTTTTTTTTGTTTTCAAGTCGAAAAAGTAAAAAAAAAAAAAAAAGCAACAACACGTTCAACGCAAGAGACTAAGCGGGGAGAAGAAAAAACGAGAGCGCGGCTCGTAAAAATTGCGCAAACCTACTCGCGCACTCCCGTCCCGCAGGGCAAATTTGTCGCCCGGCGTTATTTCACACAAGGAAGACGATGTCGTCGCCCTTAACTTTTACAACGCGTCCCTTTTCGACTCTCGTTACAGCCGCGGCGAGCAATTAGACATGCAAATGGGGGGGGAGAGTTTTTGCGAGCGGAGGAGCATCCGTTTTCCTCAGTGAGTCCACGGAGAATAATTTGTTGGTTCTTGCAAGCTCTGTACGAATTGTTTTTTACACCCACCCACTCGCCGCTTCCATCCGTGTCGATGTACATTTTTGTTTTTTTCGCGGGTGCATCTACCTCCCGGTATAATTTATTCACGTAGCGTTGAGTGAATGTACTATTAATAAAAATATCATAAACCGTATGGAAATCGGATCGATTCACATCGCCGGAAGCTCGCGACTGAGACACGGTGCAACAAAAGCTCGCGACGAAGCTGTCCACCGCGTGTCGAATATAGAGTCAGAGCTGCATAACTTTGGAGCTTAAAACTCCATAGCAGCTCGAAACAAAGCAAAAAAAAAAATAGACACATTGTAGACGACGCGACGGGTATTATCGTGGGAGGGACCGCGCGTACATATTTAATAAAAGCACCGATTGTTCCCTGTTTTTTTTTTTTATTTCCCCCTCGCGTACAGCTATTGGATGCACGACTCGGGGGGGCGGAGGGGATCGAATTGTTTCGCATAAATCTTTCACGGTAAAAAGCTCGCCCGCGCGTGCATATGTATACATCGGTATAGCACACTCTGAACGGGTATATGTATATTGAGGCTGTCGGTCGAAAAATGCATAATAACGTTTCTGCTGATAACACGCGGGCACGTGCATTATGGAGCGTTTGATTTTCGCAATGCCCCTTTGTCTCGAGTTTGCGAGGGAAAAGTGTATGTTATTCATGAAAAAGTTTACGTGCGAAAATTGTGGTGGCGCGAAAAAACAGGCAACTGGACGCTCCGTTTCGCAAAATTATCCGTAGAATTTAAGAAAACGCAAAGAGATGGAAGAAAAACAATCCTCCTCTGGAAAAAAGCTCGATCCGATTCTTCCTCGCAATAAGTACGGTGGGGCAATAAAATTCAAATTTCACGGAAATAAATTTTCCCCGGGGCTCGTACACCAGGAAAATTTATCGCACCGGTGCAGTCGCCGATTCGCTCTTCCCTGTCCTACGAAACGATACAAAAATTCCCTCCCGTGCGCCACTTTAAAGTTAAATAAGAAGGTTCCAATCCCTCGCGACCAAAAAAAAAGTGACGATGCAAGAATAAGAGTATAGGTACAACATCCCCCGACACCTGCTAATAGAATTTCGTCATCCCGCGCTGAAAAGCCCGTATGTAATTGGAGAAGTTTGCGGAGGAAAAAGTTTTCCCTTCCCGTAGGAGCGGTGTAACGATATCACTTGATCCCACCCCCTCGATCCTTCCTTTTCAAGCGTGTCACTCGTCAATTTCCCCGCGAAACTTTTTCCCCGGTGCTCTCAAAACTCTTCTCGCTCGGGTATGATTCCTCCGTGCCCGCGTACTTCGGACCCAAATGAAACCCATATATAAGTCATCACCTCGGACATACATGTGTACCTACACACCAGAGGTGATTCCCCGAAACAACGACGCAATAGAGCGAGTACGCGTACGTGCGCGAGCCTTTGTGACGCGGCATACCTGCGCTCTTTCGACCCCCCCGGGAGGGTCCAGTCGACCGGAGGAGCGCACACAGCCGGGGGCTCGTCCGAAACCTACCCCCTTCGCCCGTATATGCCACTGGGACGAACGCCGGTATGCGAGCTTTTCCCGGGTGCACGGGAGCCTTGTTTTTTTTTTTTTTTCTCCTAGAACCCCCCCTCTGTCTCTTTTCGCGCGGAAGGAAAATGCGGGGGGAGTGTATGTACACCGTACTTTGCTAGAGCTACAGCTCGACTCGACTTTTTGGGAAAACAACGGCGCGAATCGATCGGGAAAATCCACCGAACCCCGAGGGTCCCTTGAATTTCCACGATCGACGGATACACCTATACACACACGTGGGCTGTCGCGCATTTCCATTTTTCCCACTCGAGTCTTGCAACCATACACGGAGCACTTAAATGCCGAGACCCGCCCAAGATCACTTTGACGGAGACAGTGTTTTTACGCTGCTCTTCTTCTTCAATGCCCCGCGATTGCTCATGCATACTCAGCGTACAGCAGAACAAGGCGATTGACTCTTTTTGACCCAAAGTGCCCGGAAGGTGGGGTATACATGTATAGTCGAATAGTCACAGGCCATTGCGGCAAAATGCGGGTAACGACGTTATACCCGGACACCCTTCCGTTAATTGGAAGTAACGGAGGGCCATTCCGAGCAGTTGGAGACGGCCAATTACGCCATTATTGCCCCGGTCGCGATCCCCCTGGGGGTCCCAGAGAGCACTCGATGTAGGTACTACGCGAACGGGTTAACGGGTTATCCTCCCAATTCCGTGGTAGGAACACAAAAGCACGAAAGTAGTAATGAGATTGTGTCCGTGTGCCCCGCAGGGATTGAGCTTGGAGCTGAGCAAGGAGCAGAGATCCGAGCCGAGTAGCCGGTACGTCAAGGAGCTCGTGGTCGAGAATTGCGCCTCGGTGAGGCTCGGCCGCAACGCCCTGACCCCGATGCAGCAGCTCAAATCCGTCAACCTGACCAACATCGGCGCCCTCGTCCTCGAGCCGTACAGCTTCAACCTGTCCGCGCAGGCGAGCGACGTCCAACTGACGATCAACAGCACGAGGATCGACACCCTCCCGAGCAACGTCTACGACGGCAGCATCCAAAACATCAAGCTGACCAACGTCAGGCTGGGCTACCTCGCGGCCTACTCCTTCTCCAATCTCCGGGGCACCTCCAGCATCGTCCTCACCAACTGCGACGTCGCCGAGCTCAGCCGGTACGCCTTCCGCCGGTTCGAGGTGCGGGTCCTCCACGTCAACGGCGGCACCTTCGGCCAACACCTCGTACCCGAGCACGCCTTCAACGACGTCGTCGTCCCCGAGACCTTCGTCCTGAACGGCGTGCGCATGGGCACCCTCGAGAGCTCGGCCTTCGCCGTCGAGGGCACGGCCACCCTCGTCGTCAAGCGCTGCAGGATCGGGCGCCTCGAGCCCGCCGCCTTCAACGTCACCGTAGCCAAGACGGTCCTCTTTACCGAGAACTCCCTCGGGACTGTCGAGCCCGGGGCCTTCGAGTGGATACGCGCCGCGGACCCCGACGGCACCACCTCCCGCACCTTCAAGTTCAAGGCCAACAACCTCACGGACTTTGGGGAGGGCTCGCTCGGCTTCGACCGGCACAGCTTCGACAGCGTCGAGCTGGCCAACCTCCTGGTCAACCAAAGCTGCGACTGCGACTCCTTGGCCACGTGGAGGCGCCGGATCCTGGGCTCGGTGGACGTGGTCGACTCGGAGGCCGCGTTGTCGTGCCTGGCCGGGGACGGGCAGCCGGTGGGCTTCGCCGAGTACGAGGCTCGCGGTTGCGTCCTCGGGAGCAGTTTGGTTGTCCTGTTGTCGGTGATCGGGGGTTTGCTGGTGGTGCTGGCCGGGGCCGGGTGTTTGGCGGTCCACCTGGGCCGAAGGTGGCACAGGCACGGCCGCAAAACCAGTTGGAGTAGTTTGCCCATGAGTACACCCGACGTGGTCTCGAACAAGAGCAAGAACGGCTTTGCCGAGCAGTTGGCAGCCACGGGGTCGCAGCAGCGGGGCGGGGCGCCGTTGGACAGCAAGGTGACGATGATCGTGCCCGACGGCAGGTTGTACCGCGAGACCGAGATCCACGTGGTCGTCGAGAAGGTCGAGCCCCTCACGACCGAGTTGTAACGAGAGCCGCCGCCGTCGCGGCTCACCTCATCCTCCTCTTCCGCGGCGAGGGACTCGCGACGGCGTCGGGGCTCGGTGGGTAGGGACAGGCCCCACTACCAGTACCACCGACAGCAGCAGCAATGCGAGCTTTTGCTCATGGAGGACCAGTCCAGGGTCTACAGACTATGACGAACGAGCGACGACGAGGCAGGTCGTGTGCTTCGTTTGGACCTGGCTGACACTGACGTGTGACCAATTGTCGCTGCTCTTATACACAAACTAATCCAAATTTAAGAGAATGGCGATCGATGTGCGAGTTTTTTTGTGAGAGAGCCGACCAAAGTTTGCGTGTGATTACCGGGACTCGTTTGAGAGAGAAGCGCGAGATTTCGTCTTGGAACACAATATTGTTATACAAGCGCGGGTGTGCAGCGAGCGAACAAATTACATATGCATATACATGTAGATGGTTATGTATCACAGTGTGTCGTTTGTTATGTATATGTATAATATAGTGTATGTTTCACTCAATTGTAAGTAGATGATGAGCGTTACTGCGATGTATCGGTATTTTTTCTCGCGTGATTCTACCATAGAGAGAGTCGCGCGAGGCGCTGACTGTAATATTTATTAGTTGTTTTTTTCCTTTTTTTTCTTTGTTGCGATTACGTATATTTATACAGCGAAACTGTCGAATCAAGGAGGCTTTCGACCGTACCTGGGCGTTCCTCAGAAAACACAATCTACGCAAACCTAGGATTATTGAACCTTGTAAAATATTTGGATTACTTTTCTTGTGAATAAATTGTGATCTATACTTTGATAAAAATAACAAAACAGAACAAAAATTTCGATGAAAAGAATACACGCAAAAATCATTCGTATCTTTCTTGTTTATTAATATATATATATATATATATATGACCACTGATTACCATTCACATGTATGCATTATTTTCAGGATTATTTCTCCGGATCACTCGATTGGTTTCCCGTAAAAGTGTATATAGCTAATGGTCTATTCGCAAAAACTGATCGAAATTATTTCGTGACCAGGGGCTTCAAGAAGGGCAAAACGAGGATATTTTTATCGTTGCTGCCTTTTTTTAGCCACATTTTTATTCGAACGGTATAGACGGCTACGACTACGACAATACCTAAAATATACTGTTATCATCTATATGTTTGCTCGAGGTACGTGAATTATTTTCATGTAACAAAAGAAGAAAGAACCAGAACCACCCGCACTTTCATGAAATAAGTGAGTCAGAAGAATTTACGCGTCCCACCTCAGTAAGTCCTCGCTGAATTTTCCAAGAACGCGAAACTCTTGGGGAAATAAATTTGCGCGTGAATAATATACATGCGGTCGAAGGCGCGTCCTCGTCGCTTGGAAAGGGTTTAATTTACGGGTTTATCAAGAAAAAATTCGCAACTGGGTGTCTCTCACACCCTATAGTTTCAGAAGGTAAGTGATGCTTTTAGTAACTAGAAATTATTTTTAATCATCACCCGGGGGGTCGCAGATAAGCTTCAACGCAAAGATACGAGAAATTCCAAAGGCGTAGTATTTTCCCGTGAAAGTTCATCCAAGAGCCATGGATTATAATTACAAAGTTTCGCCCTACCGTAAACTGTATAATATATTATGTGATGGATCGCGCGTACACGAGCACAAAGTACGAAATTCCTGTACTATATGTTGTGAAAATGTAAGTGTTAATGTGAATCAAGCTTATTGGCTCAATCGTAAAAGAAACGCGTTTTGTTTTTTCTCCCGTTCGGAGTGCGTGGCCTTTAATTATGTTATTGCAAGGCTGTAACAAGCACCGTTCAAGTCACGCGAATAGCATATTGTCGGCAACGGTGCATTATTTTTTTTTTCCCTTCCCCCGCTGCTGCGCGTGTCATAAATCATACAACTTTTACCCGCAAACGAGGAGGTAAGCATAAAAGAGAAGGAGGAAAAAACTGGACAACTCGCTCTTTCTGCAGTTTACATGATATTTTATGTACACGTCTTTTGCGGTAAGTAAAAAAATGAAACGAACGCGTCGAGATGCAGAAATCGACTTCAAACGAAGACAAGGTAATCGTTTGATAGTGAAGAGACATGCAATACGAATATCAAATATATTTTACCACCCTCAAGCTGGTAAAAGCTCGTACTAGTCAATATCACCTTGGTACATAAGTAAAGTTTAAGTTGTACAGATTGTCGGGGGGGAGTCGTTCGCGGGAGGAAATGTCTACGATCCTTAAATTTCGTAGGTAAGTTTGGATTTTTCAGGCCATTTTTTTTTTTTTTTAGTTGCAAAATAACTCACTCAAACATTGTACGACTAGAATACTCGTCACACCTGATAAATGATCGGTAATCCAAAGTGATCGGTATATAACGCGTCGCTCTATTATTCAAATACCCCCCCCCCCCATTTGTTTAGTCACGCTTCGCATTTAAAAGTGCAACAAAAGTAAAAGCAAATTGCACCAAACCCTCCACGTTCCCTCAAAGTTTATCCGATGGACGGAAGTAAGGTGGGGGGAAAAAGGAGGATGAAAAATCGAAAAACGATCTCTCCCTCGTCTGTACTAGATTGATGGGCGCTACGCGTGCGGTTTTTCAAACGCTTTCGCCAAATGGTATACGTATATACGTACGGTTACGTGCATATCCATATACACGCACACACCTGCTTGACGTCGCGTGTCACGAGGTCGCGGTATACGTGTACACACGTACATAACGCAACGACGTTGATGACGACGCTTTATCAAGTTGTTTGCGGATACTTGTGCTTTTTTTTTTTTTGCTTTCCGCCGGGGAACGACTGTGCATGGAGGTATAAGTATAAGTGATGTATACTGCGGAACAGCTGCACAAAGTATTCTGACCTCGTTACGCAATGCGTCGAGTTACCCTTGCGCTGCGGAAAGTACACACAACTCGTTGTGTGATTTATGATGCTCTCGGCGCTACAACGATTTTTCCCTAGAAACCTCTTTTACAGCAACTAACGATAAAGTTAAAAGATCGATTTGAAAAAAAAAAAAAAAAAAAAATTATACCTCTATACGTGGATTTGCGCAACGTTAGCTCGCAATCTTATCGGTAAAGCGGAGCGATATTGCGATCGCTTCAATTACGGCTTGTTTTCCGTTACACAGTCAGCGAGGGACGACGACACGGCTGTCGATATAGAGCCCCGATTGAAGCGGAGAGAAAGAAAAAAGCAAGTGCAATAAAATGGGGAGGGGGTAGTGCGTTGGCTTTATTGCTGAATCTCACCGAATCGCATTGCCAACGATAACGGCTCGATTAGTCGGCGAGTGCTCGTTTTTTTTTCGACTCTGTGTCGTCTTTGATTCCGAATAAATTGAAAACGTTTCGAGTGGATGAATAGACGCTCCAGGGGGAGATTCCTCGAATCGATGGCCATTTCGAACGAATGAGTTTCGTTGAAGCGCCACGAAAAAAGTGGAACGGCCATAGAATCTAACTGTTAGAGTTTTCCTACGTACAAGCAGTTCAATTTTAGATGTTGAATGAGTTTGTTGGTCGCCACTTACCTGAACGGGAGAACGCCATCGAGGGCCTGGGCGACGGTCGGCGGCGAGGCGAGGGCGAAGCCGCGTCCGAGCAGCGACACGTGCGACGAGTACAGCCGCTTGGCTGTTTCCTGCGCAAGCTCCGAGTCCTCTTCCGACTCTTCGTCTGTTTTGGACCATTCAGGTTGTTTATTTCAGCCAAAAAGAGGCGAGAACTTACTTGTATTGATTTTTACTCACTTGGCAGCAACGGCAGGGGAAGATTGTTTTTCATGAGACTAGCCGCGCAAGAGCCCCCGAGAAACGACAACTCGATCTCGAGGTTTTTTAATCCAGAGTTCGTCGTGATCCAGTCGTGGCCGATTATTAGGCACTTGAAGCCGTAAGTTATCGATCGTTCGTCTTTCATGTAGTCTGACGCTGTTTCCAGGGAAAATATTACCTCGTTGCCTACGGAAATTCCATTAGTTATCATTTCGATCATTTTTGCAATTTCACATTGTCAGCTACTAACCAGGTAATACTACGGCTTTCTGGGGCCACTGACTCTGCACGTTACTGAATTTGTGGAGTACTGGCCAATAGGTTGGGCTTTCCTCAACACTGTTTTTTTCCAAGCATCTAGTAAAGAAAAAAAACAAACAAACAAGATATCCGTGATTTTATCAGAGCCACATAATACAAGTTAGGTACTTACTTGGAAAGACTAGTCTCGGCGTTAGGAATGTACAATTGTAAATAATCCTCTGGCTGAGCTGTGCCGCACTCGGGAGTGAATTCAATTGTCAGCCACTTGACAGACTCGGGAAAGGTAACTCTGTAATGCGACACAGTCGCTGGCTTGTAGGGATGCTCGCTCTCCAACCACGTATAATAATGACTAGTCGTGGTTACCGGAGGCACGGAATGTATGGCTGTTTGCTGTAACGCCGAGTCGTTGTCTTGCTGGGGCAACGACAATTGCGAGTGTCTTGTGGCTGCGTTAAGATTCAGAGCGGTGACGTGCGGCAGCATCTCTTGGATCAACGTTAATACCTGGACGCCGCTCTGCAATTTAATATTGAGCTAGAAAAGTGATGGAAAGTATAATAAGAAATTTATAAGAAAATCCAACTAACTCGAGGATCCGACGTTGCCATAGGAATCATGTACGCCATGGTCAAAGGCAAGAGTGTGGTGACAAACGCCGAATTACCGAGGATTTCAATGACGTCGATTTCCTCGGCTTTTTCCCTCGCTAATGCTAAAATATCATTCGAACGCTGAATAATGGTGGCAGTCATTGACAAGGTACACTTTTTTGCTTGAGCCTCGGCAATGGCTTTGCTCGTGTGATGCTCGTCTGTGTCTTGCGGATTCGAGTAATAAAGGATATGTGGAATTTGACCTCTAGCTTGTGTAGTGCCTGAAAAACATGTGTTTTTAAAAAATTGCCAGATCCTCCGAGTATTCTTTATAAATTTGGTGTTTCACCGTTAAAACTTAACGAGCAAGCGGAAAAAGTGAACGACGTGCCGTCCGGGCCTTTTATCACACGCAAGCCACCGTCACCGTTGCTTGTTCTACCTCCTCGGTTTCGCAGTCTTATAGCGTATTTTACTCTCTCTTTGATAGGAACAGGCTTATCAAACTTAATCTCTACAATATCATTTATGCACTCGTCTGGTCCAAAAGAGCCTCTCGTGAAATCCAGACTAGTCCAGCGTTGCGTGTGCGAGGGATCGTTCCCACCATCGTTGCGCTGAATAAAATAAAAATCTGTAGGAATCATGTAAAAAAAAATAAAATAAACAAACAAAGTAATGGTGGTTCAACTCACGTCATCTAGCAATTCTAGTTCGTAATCGTAGACACCGACCCCTCCGTAAATCCCAACACCGGCGATAAGAATACCAGGCCTATCGACTGAAAAACAAATGGCATCTGGCGAGCCGTTTCCAGTGTTCCAGCACCTCGTTTGATTAATACGAGTGAACCTCGAGGGCGTCGTATACATGATCCGGTAAAAGGCTGCTTGCATCTCGTCTTCAGTCCCGCTTGAAAAAGATGCAAGCTCGGATATGACACGAGCCAAGAGGTAACAACAGTGTACTACCAGGTGTGGCAGCGTTTGAGTCTCTTCTTTGCACAGACTCCTTTTTACGGGTATGAGTATCAAATCCAACAGACTAACAGCAGACAAGATCAAAAGGTAAATGGCTAGTTAAATTTTTGAGATGGAAGAAAAAAAAGACGAGTTTACCTATCCAAAACTTCACGAAAGGACCAGTTTAAAATTTCTTTGCCAGTACTCTCCACTTGCGACTTGTAACTAATCTGCTCCACCAGAATCGGGTAATTGTGACTCTCGGTCGAGTTCATCATTGGCAGTCCGGCATTATCCGAGGGGCTCAGTTGTCTCTTGACATGATCACTGCAGTCCATTGCGTTGCTCAGTACAGGAATGGTAGAACGCAGACGCACAGTAGGACTGCAGAGGGACGCTAGCACGGCGGACAGAAGCCGGTCCTTCGAGGTGATGCCCTGCTCCTTGTCGACTTCGGATAACAACTCGCAAAGAGATGTCCACTTGAGATAGGCCGTCGGGTAGAAGGCGTGGTAGCACGAAATGAAGGTCTTGTAGCACTCGTCCAGAATTGCGTTTACTCTCTTGTTTCCCAGGACTGTCATGCTCTTGTTGGTCCACGCTTTGCCTTTGATTTTAGGGGTCATGGTCACAGAATCTGACAAAATTTGCCTGAGCAGTGCTCTCACTTCGCCGATGCATTCCGCAAGCCTCACGGTTTCTGGTGGCGTCTTCTTACTCGTCTGATTGGGATAGATTTCGTTAATGTACCTCCTCAATAGTTTCAAGGTGACCTTACAAACGTAAAACAGCCTATCTATCTCGGCCATGGTGTGCAATGGCGACGTTGGCGAGTAAAAATTCGTATCAGCCAGATTGGCCTTGAGTGTGTTCCAGCTCCACTGTAACAGCGATATGAGGGATTGGAAGCACTCTTCGGTAACTGTCCTACTGAATTCTCTCTTTAAAACGTATACAGGCTCGATTTGATCCCTTTTGCGACTATAATTTTGATTCTCGGGAGTTATAATTCTGTACAGCAGATGTGGAATCTGGCCAGCATTCACGTCCGTCCCGTTGTTAGCCTCCTTGGACGTCTTAAAGTAAAACATGATCTGATCTTCCGCAGTCATGGTTTCCTGACCACCGGAGCCACAGTCGCTAGAGGGTCCACTGACTTTTGCCCACGCGACGTACCAACGATTCGCCTGAAGGGGCACGGGCTCGTTAAACAGGATCGAGTACTTTTGCCTGGGCTCGCACTCGTACGGAATCTCGTCGGTCTCGGCAAGCAGTTCGCCATCAGTCTCTTCCTCGCCACCCTCGATCCCAATGTCGAAGAGCTTGATTTTGGCCGTGTACTCGCCACGACCACCAAACAATCCGTAACCACCGAGAAGAATGTCAGTGTCGGCCATGAATCTAATGGCCTCCACAGATTGCCCAGAATATCCCCAGCCACCTCCATGATTGTCAAACCTCGAGACGATGGAGAAGTCTTCTCTGCTGTAAACTTTGCCTTGAGTCGTTTGGTTGTTTTCAACGCCCTCCACGACAGCTAACTTTTCATCCTGAGCTTGCGTCAAGGTATCCAAGCCAGCGAGCAAATGCATCGCGGCTTGCGATCGTGTGACAAAGCAGTTACAGACGACCGGCAACGAAAGACCTGGACTCACGATCGACACTTCAAGATTCGGTATAGTTCGAGCTTCCGTTGATATCACGTTGTAACACGAGATCTCGTTATTCGACGGTTTGAAGGACCAAATGACATTGTACAGCGGGTCCAGGCAAACGGCACACTGATTAAAATCCACTTGGTCGGCGTTGTTGAAACTGTTGCACGTACCGTCACGTTTGTTTATCACAAGACACTTGAATGAATTTCGATGCTCGGTTTGTTGAGGTAACAAAAGAATGCAGTTCTTGTTGGCCATCACGGTGCTACGGGTCAAGCTGATGCTGTTAATTTCGTCGACCTTAACGTAGGTCTGATCACCCGAGGCGCCGATCCACGTGGCTTTTCTACCTAAGCGTGAACCGATATTCGGCACGATGTTTGGAAAACTGTGCCAGGGTTGCGATCGTTCGCCGTCTCGGTTGCTGGAAGACGTACCACCTGCCTTTTGCATCTGTTGGTCATTCCACCAGTTTATACCCAGTTGGCCTGAAACAGAACAAGGAGGAATTGGTTTCGGATTCCGATGTGTAAAGTACTTTTAAAAATAACTACGAAGCTCACCTTTTTGATAAGCACCAAAGGTATAAACTTCACCCTTGGACGTGAGTACGACCGTGTGGTTGCTCCCAGCAGCGACTTGGGTAGCTACACCGGGAATTTTAACTTTAACGGGTCCCGAATGCGCAATTAAATTGCCAACTCCCAGCTGGCCATAAATATTACTGCCAAAAGTATAAACGTCGCCATTTTGCAGTAGAGCAACCGTGTGGTGTAAACCACAGTGGACTTGGACCACCGGACTTTCGGTAGGCAGATAAACACGTGCTGGTGGTATGCTTGCGACGCGCGTCATGTCGCCACGCTCTACGTCGCTACCGTCACCACTTTCTTTTTCCTCGTTAATGTGACTAGCACCAGGACCAGCGGCTGATTTAGCGACCATAGATTTGTGAACCACCACTAGCGGATCAGACGCTGAAATTTTTTTTTTTTTATTGCAAACTTGTAGAAAGGGCTTTTTTTGCGATAAAAATACGTGTAAGAAAAATTACCATTGCATTGATCACTCGACCACTTGAAATGCTTCACTTTTTTATCTTCTAAGCGCTTTTTCAGATAATCACGAAATACAAAATCGGACATTTGTGAATTATCGCAAGCTGAAACAGAAAGTAAATTAAACTTCACAAGTAGTAATTATCAATTGACTTTTTTTTGTACCATTAAAAAAAACAAAAGTAAAAATCACCTGCAGGTGGTTGGGGTAAGGCCATCTCATCTTCGTCATCACAATTTTCTCGAGCACACATTCGACAACAGCCGCATTCTGCACAGCCGCCATCGCCTTTGCCACAGCCGCATTCCCTGTTAAAAATCAAACATTGCGATTCCAATTATAAACTAATACTGAAATGAAAGCGTGATAAAACTATTACGCACTGTCCAGGATTTTTGGAAGGTTTTTCTTTGGTGACACACGGTATTTTGTAGCCCGTACATTCGTGGCAAACAGTACAAATCATGCACTGATCGATGATTCCCCATTTGTGCTGGCCAGGGGGACACATACCATCTATCCTCATTTCTTTGGTATAATCCCAATCGTCGTCTCCTCCACCTTCTAAATATGAAAAAATTTTTATTTGAGCAAAATAACAATAAATAAAATAATTACCATCCTCAGTGCCGTGGGCATCTTCTTCGGCGACACCAGTTTCCATGGCTGTCACGTTTGTCTCTCGGTTTGCGCAATGTGAGTATGCAAAGTCTCTGCCACATTGCCCTCTGTTATTAATGCCAAAAGTATACAGATGTCCCTTGTTCGTTAAGACAGCAGCGTGGGCTTTTCCCAACGATACATTAACAACAAACACAGATTTTAAATCCGGCACTAATCCAGTCACTTCGTCACTGTACAAAGTATCTTTGCCAAACATTAAAAGTGATCCTTCCTGCGTCACTAGTGCAGACGAGCCATTATTGCAAGCGGCATTCACGATGAAATGACCCTCCACTTTTTGTATTTTCTTTGGTTTACTTGGTTTTGGTTGGACACGAACTTTATTGCTCTCGCCGTCCTCGCCACGTCTAGCAATACCGGCAAACAGTACTGATCCATCGTCGAGGATTAAAATGACATGCTGACCCTCGTGGCCAATGGCAAAATTTATCACTTTACACTTTTTACCCACTGATACTTCCAGCCATTTATTTGACCTTATATTGTTCCTCATTCCTATACACCTACCCTTGCCTGTGTACATCAATTTACCAAACACAGTTTTTAATAACATGAATTCTTTGCCAGCAGCCACATACGCTATTTCGTCGTCACTGCGAGGATTTAGAATGTAAGTCATTTGATCTTCGTCAAACGATGCATATCCAAATACATCAACGCGTTTTCGGGCCAATTTTAAAGGGAGCTCCGACGTTATCGTTACTGGATTGCTCAGAGTATTTATGGTACGAACAACAAAACCCTCCTGTAAAACGATAAAACGGATTTTAAAAATTAAATTTGGTTTATTTTTCTAGAATATGCGAAAAAAAACTGCACTCACATCTTTACCAGCTGTAATCATTCCTAAACTTTCTCCATCGGAAAACATAAGCGAAGACGACCAATCTTTTCCCTCTAAAACAGCAATGCCTTTTATTGACAATGTATCGGCATCTAGGATCATTAATTCACATTGCTGTTTGGGCGAGTATTTAAAATATAAGGAACCCTATGGAAAAAAAAATTTTATTAATGCACAAAAATTCATAAATACTAATTTTCTAAAAAAAAATTTCCAACTCACATTTGCATAACCGATCCATCCAGTTTCGGATGGATAAAAATCCGATTTGTTTGCATAAACGTGACCCCATATCGTACCACCGTGTCCATTGCCAATTTTAAATAATCCACAATTAGTATGCAAATATAAATACTTTCCATCGCTGACGAAACTTCGACCACTCAAAACTAAATTATTTATTTCATTTGGTAACTGAAGAGTAGAATTGTAAATCTTAGAACTTTTAGGAACACCGTGAGTTATCCAGTCTGGCCGTGTAAGTTTGCCAAGCAAAACAGCCTGTACACTTCTTTGAAGTGAAGTAAGAACAACTGGCAACTGAAAATTATTTACTGTTAATTCATAGTCATGACAATTAAAGCTCATTTTTAAAACAATATTGATAATAACCTGAATATTTTGCGATGCAAATGCCTTGGGACTCATTAGTAAGGCTGCAACAGTTGCGAGAATTTTTCCAGTATCTCCACGAACAACAACTAAACTAAGCAAACAAGCACAAGCTACCGCTGTCAAGTGACTTCCATCATTGATTGCTGTTGACTCAGGACCATGCAAGGTAGCAAGATCAAGCAGAAGATCAAACAATGGATCTACAACATCATTGTGAGAAATAATGACAGCTTTTTGATAGATTCATAGTTTGGTTTATATGTATTAAATATTTTACCAATAACTTCATCTGGTTCGCTTTTCAAGCCTTCCGGCAGTTGTCCTTGTAATACATCCAACAATGCACCCAAAACTTTTGTACACAACGTTTGATCAATCGATCGACTTTCTTTCATTAAAGTAAATACACTTCTTAAACCTATTCCAACAATCTGGAAATAAATATTTCGTTTAAGTCTCGAATCAAACCATCAAATATAGTATACACTGACTCTATACCTTTGGTAAATTTTGCGTTGTTGATATTCTATCTTCTTCGTCACTTTCAGAAATGACGCTATCACTGAATTCTGGAGGCGGTGGCGAACTACAATTTGACGCTCTGTAAGCTGCATTGATGGACTTTGCATGCTTTTCCAAAACAGCGCCTCTGACACATGCAAAGACTGCAAATGCGGATGCATTGCTAGACACCTCAATTTCAGGTGATGAAGTACAATTTACTTCATCTCCAACATCGAGCTTTAACAGAAGCAATAGTGTTTTTGTTACATAAAAGACGAGAAAAAAAATTTCTTTTCGCGCATAGTTTACCTTTCTTTTTTCCTTTTTCTTTGATTTATTTTTTTTACATTTTTTTAGTTCATCCTTCAACCTGAAAAAAAAAAAAATGTTTAAAGTTTCCAGGGCCATTCAAATCTATAATTAAGTAGAATTTTAATTTTTCTCGTAAAAGACGCAATAAAACATTTAAAGAGTAGTAAGAGATTTTATAACTCAATGCGGCGTAAAAAAAAAGGAGAGTATACCACGAATTGAATTTATGTACCTTTGGAAATGAATATCGGGTCCACAAATAATTAAATTCTAGAAATAATTTAAATTAAACAGAAAATGTATTTTTTCAAAATAAAACCGCAATTGAATTAAAATTCAAAAAGATTAGTTGATAATCAAATACACTCATATCTTGGGAGCCGATAAGATAAAACCTTGCTCCTAAACACAAACGACACAAGTATAGGTAAAGAGTAAACATTCGGGTGTCAAAAACCAAAACAATAACAACAACAGAGAGAGAGAGAGAGAGAGCAAATCAAAAGCTTTGAGGTTAATCTGTCCACCCCCAATTGTCATCCCCTTAAGAGCAACCCAACATCATTCACTCACCACTGGCAGCGACAATTGACACTCGTAAACACTTAAACACAAAGTTTTTGAAATCCATCCCGGAAAAACCAAAAATCTTGGAAAATTCGCGAAAAAAAAAAACCCTGTAATCGGCATTCGTACAAGGTTATGAGAGTGACCCGCTTTTTGTTTACCTCTGAGCCTCGGCGATGCTCTTGAAGATGTAATAAAAGCACTCGACGTAGTCATCGGGCTCCGGAAGGAGTCTGTCACACTCGGCGACTTCCATATCCTGAGCCTAATATACTTTGGAAAACTTATAAGGGTACTCTCTAATTGCAACCCTCTTAATTTTGGTATTCTCTCTCCCGCTGCACCAGCTTCTTTACCCGAACACAATCCATCTTCGCCTATCGATCGTCCCCGAGAGTACTAATTCTGGCAGCTGCTGCTGGCCTCGTCATTCTACTTCTCATATTTAGGTATACCATCACTGCCCATTGCTCGATTCAAATAAAATATATATAGCTGCAGCCACCACACGCCATCGGGGTTGCTGGATATGTGTACTTACCATGTACATCTGCAGATCGAGTAATTAATTATAAAAAGTAAGTGCTTATCCTGCATGTTTCGTGACAGTGTATTTTTCTCCCGCACTGACACTCGACGGCAACCGGCTTCTCTGTACACTCCTATAAAAACCACACGACACTTAAAAGTTCACCCGATAACGCGAATAAGTCGATGTAACACGCTGATTTTGAACCCTTTGAGCGAGGGGTGGTAATTAAGTAGTGTGTAATAACAATAAATTAAGCACCGCAGGGTGAGTGCGTGTTAGCATGCGGTACAAATTGGATTGGAACAACGCGCACTGATTACACATTACACATGGTTTTTCTATGGAGGGGGAGGGGAGGGGGGTTAAAAAAAGAGTCATATAATTTTTATTGTACTTGAGTCTTGGATACGTGTGTGAATTATTCTGAGCTTTACACGAGCGCTTTTTCACGCTTTGACCATAATATATGTACGTGCAAGGAAAGGGTTGTTTGCACCACCGACCACTGATAGGTATACGCGGTGATGTTATTATTAAATATATGTACACCACCACCCTCATCCGAAGAACTAATTTAATATGCTTCGTTTGAATTCACACGATAAAATTTCATACACGTATATGTACTCTCTTTTATTGCCTATGAACTTATTATACATCTTACTCATGTAAGGGTGTATATATGTAATGTATGTTATATTTTTCATACGCGCTTTTTCTATTTGATTTGTGTTATTTTCATTTGTATGTACAATATATTTTATATCGTCAGCTGATTCTACAGTGACGTGCACAAAAGCGTGCCGTGTAAAAAACTGTATCATCGTTCTTCGGACGCGTAACATATATATATATACCGCCGCGCACCCCCTTGGTGAAAGCTTTCACCCCTCGTTCGTGCGCCACACACTCACCCATTCCACTATATATACCAACGTACCAACAACGCTCATTGATGATACACACCCCAGCTGATACATGTATATATTTTCTCCATCCCTCCCATCCCCTTTTATTCTCTCCCTCCCTATGTTGTATATGTGTAATATATATAATGTATTGTATGTACGTAAAACGAAGCGCGATCTGTCGATGCGGGGATTAGATCCAAAATATAATATGCCAAACAATTTCATGTAAAATGTACATAGTCGGTATACAGAATATGTGTGTACATTTATACCAACAGCATCAAGATTTTCTTTTTGAAATATTCCGGAAAATTATGGTTTTATGAAAAAATATATATCTTGCCCTCAATTTTACGTTGCAGTTTGTTAAAAATATTAATTTCACTAGTCTTCGATCGATTTTCTTATTTTTTTCTTTTTGATGTAACTATATATATATATAATATATCTGCAGGTCATTATTTATCACACGAGTATATGATTGGGCTACATGTGTGTATGTGTGAAAATGCGACGATCTTAAACAAATGGATACTATTTATTTATTCTTATTTTGGCGAAAAAAAATCAAGATTTCAGTTGATCTGATAATATCAGACATGAAAAATGTATTTGTATCAACGTTTTTTTTATCGTCCGGTTTTTAGCAAAAATAAATAAATAACCAAGATCGCAGTACTAAACTTACGTTTTTGCACATATTCCGATTTTACAACTAGTTTATCGCGTTAAAAGTTTACTATCTTAGACGAAAATCGCTCACCGAAAAGTTGAATTGACGAACGGGGGGAGGATAATAAGAATCTAATACTTTCATTATTTTGTCGATTCAGAACAAAAAAAAGTTTTTTACATACAAAATCGTCCGAAGTAAAAAAAAAAAAAAAAAAAAAAAACTTTCATCAGTCAACAATAAGCTGAAATCTGGACCGGCCGAATTAAACTCATATTTTATATCCGATGATCCCTTGTTTCTGCTCAATTATTGATGCAGTACATTTACACCAGGGTGCAATCGAAAACTATTATTCGTTACCTGGATCGTTTGTTTTAAAAATGTAGAAATTTCGGTAGGTTGTGAAAACAATAGGGCACCCAATCTACCAACCAATAAAAATTTCTTTGCGATTTTTGAATAAACGATCCAAGTGACGAATGGTGATTTTCGAACGCGCTCAATAAAAGTAGGTATGCCTCTACTTATTTTTCATTATATTTTTCAGCCTCGAGTGAATTATGATTTTAGAACGTTATGTTTGCACCTTGGTTTTTCAGGGTTTGTTTTCACACAAAAAAAAAAAAATATAATTTTGACAGAAATCATACCCACGGCCCACGACTCTACCCTATACTTTTTTGAAAATTGAAGATATTCGGGACACATTTAAAATACAGTGGTGCCAATCGCTGTCCACACGATTTTGTGTGTGTCAAGTTGACAAACCTGCAAATGTAACCTATCTCACTTTCTCTCCTCGTTTGTGTTTCACTGCCAACAATAGTCTTTTAAGCATACATACTTTTATGAGTAAAACATAAGAATTTAATCATTGAATTGAGGTGAATATACTATTAATAGTTATAACAACATCAGGCAAATACTATTAAGTATTTAACAAGGTGAATTTAAGGTTTTTAAGCCAGTAACTTTTTCTACAGTAATTTATTAGTTTATTTATTTGATTGTTGTTGGAAGCTTAAGCTGCTCATCTGATTCACTAATTTTTCAGAGTTCATTATTTTCAGTTGGCTGGACAAATCATCATAGCAGAATGGCTCGTGTACCGGATGAAGAACTAAAAAAAGCATTTGCAGAGTTACACGAAAAAGTCATCGACACACGACAAAAACTCAAGTTAGCAGATATCCAAATTGAAAGTCTCAAGAGATCGAAGCAACGTGCTGAATTAACTCAGATTGAACTGAGATCATTACCTGATAAAACCAAAATTTATGAATCAGTGGGACGCATGTTTCTGCTCCAAGACATAGGCACTATTAAAACTGAAATGAACAAACGTACCAAGACAGCTGATTCAAAGATTAAAAGTCTTGAGACAAACAAAGAATATTTACAGAAAAATTTAAAGGAAAGTGAGAACAACATTCGAGAAATGGTGCAGAAAAAACAGAATGAAGAGGCTAGCTAAGGCCAGTGGTGTTATTGGACTTACATTTATGTCTTATTCACCGAACATCTACATTTTTAATGTCAAAGCTTACAAAGTTTTATTGAATGCTCTTGTTAAGAACTTGTTTTAAATTATAAGCAATTTAATTCAAAATGTTGAAAATTCTTTTATGCTTTATGTATGGAAATTTATGCCAATAAACTTTCATTTTTAATTTGATCAAGTAGTGTTGTTTATTTAAAAATAGATTTATGAAGAGCTCACAACTTCACAAATGAAACAATTATATGTCAGACACAACTTCACACCCCCATATAAGTTTTCAAAAATGGATTTATCAGTATGACTCAAACAAGCCATGTTACAATACGTATTTTTAAAAGTATTTTAAAAAATCATCATTTTACAATTCTTCATCATTCATTATACTATTATAATTTTTAGCAGCAGCAGTATATATCCCCTGCTTCCTCCTGAGCAAATGCAACGTCTTTACACGTATGCGTATAGTAGGCACAAATAATAATAGTTTATAAATTAATAAACATAAAACAAATACAAGTATCGAGTATCAAGAGATGTTGAAAGAAAGAGTTTCAAATAATTCAAGGGGATCGTGGGCGGAAGTCGCCATTTTTCAAGAACCCGTAGTTTCGTACACTTTGAATTCTTATGCACTTACACGACAGCTTATATTTAAGGTGAGATTACATGGAGTCTGACAGTCTGCAGACTGGCAGAATCGCGCCAAGTTTAAAATATGTTTCAATATTAATATTTAAAACTTGTTACGTAAGCAAAGAAATAATTATCGTAATACATTTGCATTTCTGTATTAACTAATATTTATGAAAAAAAAAGGCAACGAAAAACGTTTTGTCACAGTTACATATTGTTATACATACCAGGTTACATCAGTGACCCTACTGACCGACTGTACGATGTTAACATAAATCTATAAAAAATGTTATAAAATAATATTTGACACGTTTTATTGTTAATGAAATTGATTGTAACTAAGCCTTTATTCTGTTATGACAATAATTACAATTTTTTCTTTATTTTACTAAATTATTCTGAGATGTTATAATTTAAACATAATTTAAACTTAGCGCGATTCTGCCAGACTCCATGTAATGTAATCTCACCCTAACGATTTGACCGCCATTTGAAGGGCCATTTTATATATTATATTTTTTTTTAATTTAAGGTTTTGACTATGAAAACTGAATTCATTCAGAAATAATAAAACAGAGTCAATATTTATGTATAAAATACAGTATACGTATGTATTATAACAAAGAGCCGGAAAAGTGTAGCAGATGAGCCGCCATTATTAGGACTCTCTTCAGAAACTGTATATCTATTTACATTACTCAACACGTTGACAAGTTGACATGTGTCACTCTGTTAGCTGTACTTCCTGTTTTACGTTACTCTGTAGCTGTAGCTGTCTGCGATGCTCATGAAATTCCGAGCCAATTATTGGCTGATCAGGATTGTGTGCGTGTTAGTTCTGAATATGGCAGAGCCAATCAGAAGAAGCTCCCGCGCCACACTGCACTCGACCCTCCGTAATCACCTACGTCATCGACGTCGTCGTACTCCTCTTGCACGGTCTCTACATTGCCAGGCAATCATTGCCTACGTGTATACCTGTATACGCGCATTTGGAGTTCAGAGCCCAACAAGCAAGCAGTGGAGCGCCATTTTAAACTCGATCGTTTTTGTGCTATTCGGAGCGAGAGTTATTATTTTTAACCCCGAAAAAGTGTCCCCAATCGTGCATCATTCTGTTTTTGCGCGTAGATAACAAGAGCAAAGTTCCTCTCGAGGAGAGACTAACCCAGGACGACGCGTGTGCTTCGATCGCGCTCCCCCTCCCCCGGAGGAAGAGGTTCTCCTGGGCGGACGTGGTGCAATATTTTTATTGGCACCTCTAGCGCGTGTCCGACGACGACCTAGTTGTTGCCATATTATATATTTCATATAAATCATAACAACTCAAAGCTTTCAGTGTTATCATCGTGTGCGTGCCCTTGCATATACTATCGGGATATCGGGAATATCGGGATCTGTGATCTGTGTCGCGTGTGTGCATGTGTGTGGTACCCGTGGGGCTCTCGCGGTGAGGCTGAACCCGGGCAGAGCAGACATCCTCTTCGAGAACTCGCACCCAAAACGTGGGATTCTTTTGGGGAACGCCCAATGATGATGGTGATGATGACGAGGATAATTATCGTTCGTCAGTATCAGTAGTGCTGCTCGTTGACGTCGTCAAAAATGCTGTGATAAAGCGTGTCCGGAGTTTAAGGTCAGTTTCATGCGACGACAGCTGCTCTTATCTTTGCTCGTACACTTAGACAAAATTAATCTACCAGGCTATTTGAAGCCAAATACCGATGCATGGAATTCGTGGGTATTTTTTGCATCAACTCGTGTGCTTTTACGTAAGCCCCTCTTGTCTTTTCTCCTCTATTTTCTTACCACCGTCGCCTTCGACGTGATAACATAGGTATGTGTACACCTTGTACCTACTTATCGATAGAAAATCGTCGCGCTTTCTAGGTATAATTTTTCACTTAGTAGATGCGGCAACAACGTAGTAAAAAGTAGGTATTGTGTAGGCCCGTCCCACTGTTTCGTTGGATTTTTCATCACTTGCTATGATGCAATGGACTCCAATTTCATTCTCAAGCAACGAATTAAGCATGTTTATTGGTACTTATATCCGTCTCACACGTTTGTTTTTAGAAATAAGTACAGGTAGAAACCCATTAAGTTATACCTGCCTAATGGTAGAAAAACTATTATTGAGGCAAGGCACGTTGGGTTATTCCAATATATAAGTCACGTGGTTTTTTTTCGCATACATTTGCACAGATTAATTGCTTGCATCAGGTGTAGGTACGTATTTATTCATGCAGAATTTATCAACGTTAGTTTTGATTCTAAAGCACATTTTCCAATTCAAATTCAAATTATAAAGTGATTCTTTTCGTGCTTACTTTAACTTTTGTCCACCCTCTTTTCTCAATTATTTCAAGTCCTAAGTATTCAGTAATAGCTACATTTTTCGATAAGAATTTGAGACATTAAAATTCAATCATTACACGATGTGGAATCGACTTTCTCATTTAGTTGAAGATATTACTCCAAATGTATTTTTAATGTATTTTTTCAATAATCTCTATTTAGTGTTCTCATACATATATATATGCTTGAACTATTTTTTTATGTTGCAATGACAGAATTGTCTTTATTTGTTTGAAAAATTTGTCTTATTGAGGATTGTCATTTATGATGAGTACCTAACACTTGAAAAAATTGTGCTTATTCAAGTTTAAACAAAATATTGCACATAAAAATCTTAATAAAAAAAGTATACACGATTTTCATGAAACAATAGATTTAATTTTAAAGTATTCCTGATGTATTTAAAATATTCATCCAACAAGCAAGGTTCATTTACATACAACTGTATTTATTTTTATGTATTTAGGTGGTACTCGGCTCTCATGTTTAATAAGACGTAACAAAAATAAAATTATAAACACGGAAGTAACTTCTACACAAAATTTTTTTGTATTGATTAACGCGAAATTAACATGCTTCAGTTTTACCATATGGTTAAATCTTTTCAAAGCACTATTTTTAACGTAAAACAATACGTAATAAGACGTTGGGTTACTCAAAATACTTCTTTTTTTTTGTTTCAGACTTAATATTAATTTGTAAAAAGGAAGCATAACTGCCCAAAGATGTCTGGTGATGCGAAAGAAATAGTGGAGGAGTATATCTCTTCCCTGACGGAGCTTACAAACAACAGTAAACCCTTGATAAGCATGTTAACAATTTTAGCAGAGGATTATATTGAACATGCCCCTGCTATAGTTGAAGCAGTCGAAGCTCATTTATTTAAGGTTAATATATCTCTTATTCTTAACATCCTCAACATCACATGAATTACATTTATGATACTCAGACGTTAATTTTAGTTCACTGATTTTACATTTGTACTCTTTAAGTATTTTTTGATATTAAATGTTGGTATTCTCACTTGTGGCATTTATATTTACGTCGTGTATATTATATATTCTCTAAATATACGCATTCTATGATTTTTTTATCTGTCAAATAAATTTATATAGTCATTAAAGGTTGCTAAGCAGCTAGTTTTTTATATAATATTTATTTAGTTATCACAATGTACATTCCGTTAAACATGCAAAATTAGTGGCAAAAATTAATATCTATCCAAGTGCTTTAAAATTTTACTGAAAGTGCAATTATTTGACAGAATTGCTGTTAAAACTGATTTGGCTCTTATTTTAAGATGGAAATTACTACTAAAGAAAAAAAAATGATTACCGTGGATTGCTTATACTTTTTACTTTTTTTTAAAATAGTCCATTATTTTACTTCAAAATTCGTAATGAATTTTATACGTAGTTAAAATTTCACAACGTTTGATAAAAGGAAAATAATCAGTCGTTTAAATTTCTCATTAGCAGTACTATGAAATCTAATGCTATCATAATTTACTTTTGTTAATTAGTAGTCGATATTAAAAAATATCAGCTTTCTGAAAAAGAACTTGAAGAATATATTTCTTTATACAACCGTGATGAAAAATTTTTTTACTTCTCACTGGTAAAACTAGCGCTGCTCTTAAAACTGACTGGCTTATTTTATTGTATTCAAACATAAAAACTGATTTAATTTTTCAACATTTTCTTATAAGACAGTTATTGTTAATTATAATATTGATGTAAAAAATATAGCAGCGATGTCACCAAATACTAAATTCTACCCTGGGTACCCTTAAGTTTAAGACAAATATGCTTTAATCCCACTAAATTAAGGAGGTACTTGGCATTGTCTTAAGAGTAATCAAAGTAGAAATGACACTTGATTGTATGGCTGCTACGATTTAATATACCGTATAATATTACAAAATATACACATATTAAATTACGTAATATATATGTATGCATACATATATGCAGATTTATAATAAAATGTCAGTTGAGATGAAGACTTCAGCTCTTTAATTTTTGTTTTAATAATCTGACTTGAAACAAATTTCTTTTAATGTAAGCATCAGACCGTTTAAGTAATCATGTCGACTGGCTACTTATCTTTTAAGGTGGATAAATGTATAATAGGTTTTTCAGCTGTAATGTCTTATTGCAACAAGTGTACTTGTTAAGCATATATGATACCAAATCTCGCTCTATTATGACTCCTGTTTCATGATGTATATAAATTACCGTGTCGGGATTTCTCTCCCAAAAATCAATCTCTTCTCACCTACAGATTTTTCGTTACCCCAAAAGATATTTCGGGATGGTTGGAGTTTCCTGTTATCTAAAAATAAGTTACACAAATATCATAGTACCATGGAAATAACTCTAAATTTGAATATCTCGCTCCTGTTGTAATCCAATTTGAATTAAATTTTTTTTAACAGTCGAGAAACATTCGATCGTCCTACCATTTCAATTTTAATTTTGCCCCGTCTCGTAGATGCCGAGAAAATACACATACGATCGGTATGCAACGACATCCATGTTTTTTTATAATGAAATAAACTTTCAAATCCATCAATTTTTTACGAGAAGATTATCTACTGTTGTGTAAAAAAAAAAAAAAAAAATAGCGAGAGCACAAAAATATTAGCTATAAAGCAAAGAGGATAAAACGCAAGTATTGTATGTTTATACTCAGGTATCAAGCGAGATTAAGCTACCCGTGCTCTACCTCATCGACTCGATTATCAAAAATGTCAACAAAGCGTACCTGAGATTGTTTGCAAAAAATATCGTCAATATGTTCTGCCATGTCTTCGAAAAGGTGATTTTTGTTTGATTTTCCTTATTTTATTATCCGTTTATCGTCTAACTTATTCTTTTTCACCATAAATACAAATAGTTTAAACTTTTTTTCTTATTTTTTGTAATTGCAGGGGAACGAGAATACAAGGATGGGCATGTGGAAGGTGAGAACGACGTGGAATGAAGTGTTTCCGGCAAAAAAGTTATACGCCCTGGATGTTCGAGTGCAAAAAATTGATCCAGCTTGGCCTATAACGTCCAAGCTACCCGCTGGTACAAAATTATCAAGTTCAAAGTCTTCTTCCAAGGTAAGCTATTTAGATCCAACATCACTAATTTCTTATTACTCTTGAAATTAAATATGTGTTTGTGTTTCTAGCATCGTGAGGCATCAGCACCAGCCCAACCAACGCCACCGGTGTCTAAAGTATCTCCAGTTCAGCCTACGGCAACGGTCACGCCGACGGTTGTAATTCCCGCACCTGTGGTTAAGCTGCCGACTTTAACCAAACCAGCGACGGCTACCGAGGCTGAGATGCAACAGGAATTGATTAAAAAGCAAAAACTGCTGCTCGAGTTGCAAAAGCAAAAATTAGATTTGGAACTCATGCAGGCAAAGGCAAACCTCGAGCAGCAGCGCCGACAACTCGACAAACAAACTACTCTGCTGAAGCCAGATCTAGTGAGTTTCGTGTTTCTTTTTTTTTTTCCTCTTCCATACTTGTCTTGAATTTCAGTACTTAATGGTCGGTTGATCCCTTGCAGGCCGTGCCACCTGAGGATGACTTGGAACTAACGGTTGAAGCGTCAACTCCATCTAATAATATTTCAAATACATTAGACAAGGTGTGTATTTTAAACATGACGATTTTTCATATTTGAAGATAAATGAAAAATACAAATTTTTGGGAAACTTTTTCAAAAAGTACATGAGGAAAAAAATGTTCTTTTACAGCACCCTGGTGCGATTAGTCTCTTTAAACCGACAGAAAACAAAAGTGGCGTGAGAATAGCCCCTGCCAGCAGTATAGCTGTAGCTGCCGCGAAGCAAATAGCAGGTCGTGATCCGCGACTCAAATTACCTGCTACTGTGTCCAAAGAAAGCATTGAAGAACTTGCAAAGCAAAAAATCATGCAACACCTAAACAAGCTGCAGCAACAAAACAATGCAAGTTTATCGCTAAACAACGAGTCCGTTGTTATGGCGACTATCAATAATAAAACTGTCGAAAATCAAAGGGTGGATGGAAGCCAAAAGAAAGATTCTGCTGGCTCAAACTCCTCGCTTCTTAACAACAACGTTGTCAAAGACTCGTCAAAAAACTCGAGCGCAAAAAGTTCCTCGTCTCGCGGTAGATCCACGAGAAAAATAGGCTGCAAGACCCGCTCGAAAACACCCTCCCCGTCCCCGTCGCCTACAAAAAGTAATAAATCGGACGATAATTCGCCTTCACCACCCGAGAAACGCTCGAAAAAGTCTTCGAAATCTCGCAAAGCCCGCAATCCTAGTCCTTTATTACCTAGCACCGCATCGAGCAACAGTAACAGTAGCTCATCGTCCTATCGTATCCCCAAGCATTCGTCTGCACTAGACGCGCCTGGTAGTAACAAGTCGTCCTTACCAACAACGCCAGACGACGAGGAGCAGTCGGGTTCTCCACCGGACTCGCCACCCTATGACCCGGCGGCTCCGATCACGAGCTTCAAAAACCTGCGGTCGAGCACGCGACATAGAAATTATATCAGGCGAAACAAGGAGGGTAGCAGGAGCCCCGAAAGTGGCGCTGAGGACGCAGGCAAGGACGTCAGTTTGCCAGACACCAGCAAAGATGAGGATCTCAGAGCACCACTAGGTAGCGTTAACGTAGTGGTCGCGGCCGCGAGCGCTGCCGCACTTGAGAGTGAGTTGATTGTTTTATTGAAGCAAGTGGTTGTGGGTGGACACGAGTGGTTTTTTTCTGTATTATTAGCACTACGATATTACCGCGTGATTATTACAGCCGCACTCGCGATGTGTGCCGTGGCTTCGTGGTGCCTCGAATCTTCAAAGAAGATTAACTTGTACGTTTTTCGCTGATACAATGTGTTTTTGTATGCACGTTACTTTACCCATAGTTTCTACATACACCACTGAAGTACAAAAGTATCTTGTACATATTTCTGTTGTTTTTCTTTCTTTAATAATCAATTGATTTGAAGAATTCGAAATTGTTCAAGTGCTTGTTTCTATTTTTATGAAAATTGTGGAAATTATTTTTATATGTAATTTTCGTAACGGATCGCTTTAAGGCTGAAGTTGTTCATACATATTATACACTTCTTGTGACTGTATTCAAAAGTATTACAATTAAAAAAGTTTTAAATTTCTTACATTTATTTATAAGTAATCTACAGTTATTTATTTTAATAGCAAGTAATCCTACCTAAAATGATATTTTTTAAGAATAATTATGATGCAATAATTTAATATATGTATTTAAAAATCTTAGATCAAATTCTTGATGCTTATCTTGTTCAACATTTTTTTGATTTTTTAAAAGATTGCTTATTTACACAACTCATTTGAGTTGAAGCGTAACGTTGATCTAAAATTTTAGAAAGTTAAATAATCATGTGATGACGGTATTTAAGAAAATAATTGTTAACTGTAGAAAAAGTTTTAATTTTCGTATTACAGATTACCACGAAAATTAAAAATGATCTAGAAAACAAATAATTAATTTCTTGAAAAAATCATACCGTGGATATATTTTTAATGTCATTCATCATGAAATGTTATTCATCATATCGTAGTGCTTTTCACAAATAGAAATCTTCAATTGACCACGATGTTTGTCGTAAGTAAATGAAAAAAATTACTCTGTCTCGCACCTAATTACTCTGACATGCTGTCGAAAACATTCTTTTTTTTTCAAGATTTCTCTCTAGAGCAGCTATTAATTATGTTTAATAGAAATGTCTCACCAACTTTTTACAGAAGATTTAGATCTGCGCGTGCTTGCGGTGCCAGGTGGCAAGAGGCAAAACACTGACACCACTGATGCTTCAAGCGCCAAAAAGACCAAGACTGGTAGATTCGATACGTAAGTCAATCTATTTTTACCCTTTTATTATTAATTTTTTTAATTTGACAACCAATAGCTCGTTTTACACCTTTTTAAATATTGTAATTTTTTTTAGGCTCTTTGGTAGCGAGGACGTTGATTTGCGCACTTTGACAAATCCGAATGCCGGCAGGCCGTCAACTACACCGCCCCCAGCCATAGTCGAAGACAAAGACAAGGATAATAGCTGGGCCAAGCTGAAAACGCCGATAAAGACGGAAAATGACGCGCCGAGACCGCTGCAAGATCGAAATCGCGACAAACTAGGTCGGCCGCGCTTCTACAACAAAATCGGTGCCTCACCCGAGGACGGGAAAGAGCGCCGCTTCCGGGGACCCAACATGATGGCTCGCGAGTTTGACAAGCAGAACGAGCGCAATATCGAGATCATCATAAAGCAGGCTGCCGAACAGCTCAACCAGGGCGAGATCACCAAGACTCAATACAACAAGCTAATTCAAAACGTGCTGCACATGAGCGAAGATCAGAAGCTCAGGGCGGCCCAGCGCAAGGAGCAGGAGATGGGCATGCTGATGTGGGAAAAGGGCGAGGGCCCTAATATCCCTGGCGCCGCTGCAGTTCCTGGACAGATCCTCGGTAACGAGGAGAACATTCGCAAAGATTTTCCTCCAGTGATACCGCATCCACGGGCTACTGGCCCCCAGAGCGTCCCTAGGTGGCAGGGCCCTTGGCACCCAACCTGGGGACCACCGCCTTCTCACGGAACGCCTATATTCACAAGTGCACCACCTCCGCCCTTTCCCCCCGCTGGTGGCCCTCCTATGGGTGCCCCCTGGCAGAACCACCCAAGAATGTTTGGTCCCCCTCCTGTACGAACAGAGTTTCCGTACCCCCCGCCATTCAACCCACGCATGGTACCACCTCCTCCGTTGGGCACGAATGGCCCGATGATGATGCCGAACGGCCCGATAAATCCCACGATGGCCATGGGCTCGATGCCCGGAGGGCTGATGAGCCAGATGCCGCCCAATATGATAATGGGCAACGGGCCAATGAGGCCCGACATGCAAAAACGCCTGTCGCCAACGAACAGTGCCGTCGCGTCCGCCTCTAGCTTGGTTAATAATGTCAGCAGACCAGAAACGGATATGAACAGCAGCACCCTCAATCTGTCCGGGGGACAGGTGAGCAGCGGAGAACTACCTTCCGCTGATCCGGCGCTGCTTGAGGAAATAGCCAAGGATACCATGAAGTCCATCAACATCGACAATATACCGCGAGAAATCAGGTACTATGGCAACATTGGCATCGTCTTCATGAACTGGGACGATCCGAGAGACATTGGCTTTCAGGGCGGATCTAGGAGGATATTCATCAATGGAAAGGACTCCATTGTGTGCAATTTCAACGAAGACTACAAAGAGTTTACGTACGAAGGGGAGATTCATAGGTAAGTCATTCTAAGTTTTTTTTTTTTTTTTTTTTTTTTTTTTTTTGTCACTTTGTTAAATGATTTTCGAACACATTTGTCTCTCCGTAGGATAAAGCTTGGCACACCCACCAGAGAGTTGTATGTGGATGGTAAGTGGTACGAGTGTTACTTTGGCGGTCGTCCGATCACCGTCGATCTCGGTAACAAAAAAGTAAGCATCAATTTGGAGGGGCCGATTCCTCAAGTAAAAATCGGCACAATCCGGCGGACAGATCTCGTTATCGGTAAAATAAATCTAATCATCAACGCAAGAAATATGGTGCCAGTCTTCCTCGATTCCAAGCCCCAAATGTACGTACTCTTTTCTTTTTTCAATGCAGTCGATTGAACGAATTTCCAACAGTATAAGTATCTTTTTGTTATTTCCTTCTCATGTTGACATATAGGTTTGAAGTTGAGGGTGTGCCGTGCTCCCTGGAATTCGCAGACGCCCTGCAAACTGTCCTTTTAAACGGCAAGCCATTCCGCGTTGAGTTCGGTGGCTTGCCAAAGCCTGTGATTATCGGAGAGAAAAAGCACTTTATTCGCTTCTCTGTCCTTCCACGAGGCATACGTGCCGGCCACGTTAAAATCACAGGCATGAGAGGCGAGCAACCAAACTTCAATCAATCATCGTCAGCAGTAACATCTGCGGTCACTACTCAGACTACCAGTAATCATCTAGCCATGGCGTCGACGAAAACCACGACGACGACTCTGGCTTCGTCGCTAACGATGCCGGCAACCTCTATAGCTAGCACGCCTCCCGCGAATCCCAACATCCCACCCGGTCTTGATCTCGACTCAACCTCTCAGGACGGCACGGACACTCCAGGCTCTGTCTCCAAGTCCTCTGGTAGTTATCACCCTTCTACGTTCCCTCCTCGTGTACTACGTTGTGCAAAGGATACGAGTCGATTCTGTTGCAACGAGAAACCATTACATTTGGACTCATCCCTACATTTATTTTCAGATCTCCAATTAGACGTGCTCTCCTCCATCGTACCTTCAGTCATGGCACCGTCTTCGGGGCTCTCCTATCAGGCGGAACCGGCGGAGAACCCGCAACCAGCACCAGCTCCGGCTTTTTCTTTGCCAACGAATATAAGCGAACTGTTCCAGAGGCTCGTCGAGACCGGTATCGTGCCCAGTCTCGACTTGTCCAAGAGACAGGAGGAAGAGGAGAGGAGAGAGCCGGAAATGATTCCCGTGTCGTTTGACAAACCAGAAACATTGAAAATGTAAGTGTCTGTAATTATTTCGTTGGACAAGGGCCATGTTGGTCATATATTTATTGATTTACTTTTCAGGAAACAACCAGCTATGGTGTCGGCCTTGTACACCGGTATGCAGTGCAGCTCTTGCGGGGAGCGTTTTACGCCGGAAATGGCCACTCACTACAGCCACCATTTAGATTGGCACTTTAGGCAAAATCGTAAAGAGCGCGACTGTGCAAAGAAACCACAATCGAGAACGTGGTATTACGATATCCACGACTGGACACAGTTTGAAGAAATAGAGGATCTTGACGAAAGAAGTAAGTGTACATAAAGTTTTTTTAGCTTACTTTTACTTTAATGGCGTGGTACAAGCACACGCCAATTTGAGTAGTAGTCAATGCATAGCATCGCGCTCTTATACGCGTTTAATCTTTACTCTCGTATTTTCTAACTATTGATTTCGTGTAAAATTTGGTTTTTTGTTCTTGTGCATTTTCAGCGCAAAGCTGGTTTGAAACTGAAAAACAGGCTAGTGATGCGGATGGAGCTGGGGGTGACAATGCTCTCACAGATTTGGAACAGCCAAGCATTCCAGCTCAAGGCCCTAGTCCACATAAATGCGAAGTTTGTCAAGAGATCTTTGAGCAATTCTTCAATGAAGACATCGAGGAATGGCACATTCGGCCAGCCGTTACTTACGAAGGCAAAAATTACCACCCTCTCTGCCTTCAGGATCATAAGGTAATTTCATTTTTTTTTTTTACTATTTTCATAAATTGGGCTGTCATTAACGACTTGGATCGATTTCTTGCTACCAAAAGGAAAAACTTCTTGCGGTAAGTCTTTTGTAGTAAATGCGTTAGTTGCGTGAGTATATTATGGGAATGTATTTTTTTTCACCATGAATAAATCTCATTATTAGATTGAGTTGTAATAACAATGTCTATAATTTCATATTGCTACTTCCAGATCTCTCTTGAAAAATCGACTTCAGTACTTGAGGTAACTGCAACCGAGGTAGAAGTAGCACCACCTAAAGAAGACCTGGAAGTGGAAATTGAAATCAAGGAAGAGCCAATAGATGAGAAACCAATAATAAAAGAAGAACTAATCGAGATGATGGAGCCGATTGAAGAAGTGCCGCTTTTACAGCCAGGCGAGATTGTAAAATCGCCAAAAATAGAGGAGGAACATATAGTCGATGAGATGGACGACACAGAACTTATTGAAATCATTGAACCACTTCCTCGAAAGATAGGTAAAATAGAAAAACTAAAAAATGTTCTGCTTAATATGATTTTTGCTATATAAAGATGTAAAATTTTTCATTTTAGAAATCGAAGACCTCGTTGATGATTCATCAGAAGAAGAAACCAAAGAGAGTATCAGAGAAGAAATCGAAAGAGCGAAGGAGCAATGCAAGAAACTTGAGGAAAAAATACCCGACGACGTACCATTGATATTTGAAAACGTTCGAATAAAAGAAGAACCAGTCGACGAGCCAGGTAAAGTTTTTGTGTGCTACATAGCTTTGGGCAAAAATTATTGCTACTTAGCATTAAGTTTTGCTAGTTATAAGAAAATATAATCAATAAATAAATATTTTTTTACTTTTCACAATAGAATAATTCATTGTTTTACAGTTCCTTATAAAATATTAACACCCACCATATTGTTATATATTTCTCTTGATTGATCTAAATTTTTAAACATCTCATAACTTAAAATACTTAATGTAAGTGGAGCTATTATTAACCCGATCTGAAGTTGACAATGGCGTACTACAATCACATTAGAACCACACAACACAGTACCATATAAACTCTATTACTAACATTCCAAATGAATAATTTTATCTACAGAATCCGAAGTGAGTGTACCCAAATCGGCAGTAGTAGATACGACTCAGGTGTCGGTCAAAAGCTCGATGGATGGCAATATTGAGCTAGAATCCTCAGCCACCATGGTAACACCAACAGCTCCATCGAAAATCAGGATAAACATGGCAAAGTCCGTCAATACGACAGTTGTTAAAGAAGCCGTAGATGCCAAGAAAAAAGAGAAAGATGTGATCAAGAGTACAGCACCGACTCCAGCACCAGCTAAGCCTCTTTTCCCTGCGGCCATCAAGCCCTCGCTCCAGGGCAAAAAACTCTCGATACTGCCGACAGTGGAAAAGGGCCATGAGCTATCGGCTCTTTGCAGCATAATGTAAATATAGGGAGCAGATCTCTCGCGAGCGCGTTTGTTTGTATATACCGCGTAGCATTCCTAACACGTACGAATATTTTTTTTGTACAACACGATAACGAGATATGCATGATTTATTTGTACCGAGGCTTCTCTTAAACGATATAAGAGATCAGAGCTAGGGTTGGCGTCTTGAATGATTGTATATAGAATTTTGTATTTTGGACGCATTTTGTACATACATATATACATACGTACATGAGAAAAAAGAAATATCGTTCACACGTCGATTTTAGACGAAAATAAAGATATGTATTTTTCTTGTACCAAGAGGAACGAAAGGAAGTAAACGGCGCGTCGAAACTTGTGTTCTATTCTTTTTACAGAATTGCGATTTACTTGATCAACGTTTCTTTATATTTATTTCGCCCGCTAGTGTATGATGTAAATTTTATATTTAAAAGAGGTTCTGGCATTGGCTGCAATGTGACGACTATTCTCATACTTTGCGAGATTCGCGATAAATGACGTTAAAATATTTTTTTTAATTTATTAATAAAAAAGAAAAGTTTTTCTGTTTTTGTTCAACTTATTTTTGAAAAATTGTAAAAATACACGTTAAAAATTTTCTCAAGTTTAAATAAAAAAAATCCAAAAAAAACTACGAAACTATCTCAACACGATTATTTCCTTTATCCTATATTCTTGGGAATTTACGTTTCACTTTTCTAAATCTAAAATTAACCAGTTCAATAACCTAAACACTATCTAGGATAATAAATTTCAACCCATCGACGAGAACCCCCATAAGGAACCTGAAAGCATCATTTTTCTTTATTGTTAATCCTAGATCATCTCAGAAGAAATTCTATAAGAATTTTCTGGTGATCTGTTTGGTGGAATGTTTAAAGGGAAAGGGGTTCTAATGCAATTTTATTTGATAGTATCTGCATGACCACATGCAGCATGAAATAGACATTCCATTAGACACATCCAAAATAAATAACAAGTAACAGTATAACCACTTGCAATTGCACCCCAAACTTTTTTGACTTAAAAATAACTTGATTCTTAAGCATCATAAGTTGCATTAGTTTTTAATACAATCCATCAATGCTCTTTTCCAAGATACTAATTGCTGAAAATAAGACATAGTACATGAAAAAAATTTTTGAAGTGCAAAACAACCATAATAGCTAATATATTGAGACGAATATTTTGATGTTTACCTGTGTTCAGAGCAAAGTTTGACTAGAAGCGCATCATAATCCTTGGAAACAATAATTTATCAACAGTAAGTAGCAAAAGTGAAAGCTCATGGAAAAACAGTTTTGACCTAAAACCTAGATAATATTTGGCTAGTAGTACTCAAGTGTATGATTCAGCCATATGCTTTATCTAAGGCATAAAACATGCATAATCTACTGTTGTACAAAGCTCTCAATACGTTCTTTATCAGCCTGTAATTCTTATAGCAGTATATATGTCAAGTAAGTTTCATACTCCTTAGGTGTGATCATAATACCAAAGTAAAGAGATTTCTCTTTTGTAGCTATAACTTCAGCTGTATCATTGCCAGATGATCGATTTCACGGCTGATAAATAAATTAGTGACTTATAGCTTAGAAAGGCCATAAATCTGTTATTGGTTTTCTTCTTTGTACAAAGAGATAATCGAAATCATGCAGAAAAAGAAAGCTCCAGTCAGTCTTACTTGGCGACTCGACACTTTAGCACCCTGAAAAAAAAGAGTGGAAACATTAGTAACAGCCTAAGACATTATACATCTACACTACAGTAGTTTGAACAAGAAAGAATCGTATATTTTTCCTGCGTGTCCAAAGAGTTCAAGTATGGAAAAAAAAGAACTACATATACCTACAGTTATTGCGTTGCGAGGCAATAGGTAGAAGAAAATGGCGTTGGACTAATGCGTCATCGTTACAACTCGCAAAGCAATAAGTAGGTGTATGTATACTAACGGTAAGAAAGAAAAGAGCTCTAACCTGCTGGGATTAGTTCTCTTGTCCATAAAATTTCTGCACTTCTTTTCCCTTGTTCTTAATAATCTTACGGTTATAAAGTTTTCCTTCGTGCAAGAAAATTATCATCTTCACTATAGATTAAACGTAATAATAATTAGACCAAAATAGCGCCTCAACCGAGTCTGCGTCTCTACTGTTAAACTTCAAGCCACAACCAAGTCTCTTAAGTCGAAGTTTAACAATATGTTTACCATATTTTGTGAAGTGAACTGAACTGAAGCTGACTGAAGTAGAATTATATACTACATTCGGTAATATGAAGACTTTGAAGTAAAGGACGGAATTACGGATCGAGAGGATAAAAAAAAAAATACGCACAATATGGGAACAGGGGTGGCGACGATATCTCTACAACGAGATTAAGATTGACACCATCATCGTCATCGATGAGCAGCTAACAAATATAAATATAGGTATGTAAGTATCTTGCTTGGAATAGTTAGAGCATGTAAGTACTGGATTTTTTTTTCTAATTTTTTTGCTCCCATATGACAAGTATCAGTTTAAGGGGAAAAAGTACGATTTTCTTTTTTCGGTTCTCATGTAAACGTGACCACATATGGAGATTGTGTGTTTTAAAAGCGGAAAATTTTTAGAATTCCTTTAGAGTAATACAAAAACATAAAAATAATTATTAAAACTGGATAGCCTTTTTTTTAAATACAGTGACTTTAGCAGTACTTATTTTTCTATCAAATGTATGTCTAAATTTTTCGATGATAAACATTTATGATTGGGTGCGTTTAGTCCGGATTGCCCGGAACTCGGAGGGATCGCAGTGTGTCATCGTACACACAATCGAACTTGATGTAGATCGATTGAATATCGAAGTCGACAGAATTGAATTGCTTGTTGAAAACGAAAATCTAAAATATTTATAGATTTATCAAACGAACGTACGGTAGGAACCTAGAAACTGTAGGAAGAGGACAAAATGCAACCATTAATTATATTAATTATAATAATAAAGACAATGGTATGAGTGAATTTGTAAAAAATTATTACATCGATACTGACTTTTTTTCTCAGTCACATATCGTGATATCGATGATCAGTATCGAGATTTCCAATTTCGATCGATACACAAAATGTTTATTTATATAACTGTATTAGGTATTTATATATGTATATATGTATATCAAAGTAAACAGTATAATAAAGTAATTAAGAATAGAGAGAAAAACCACACCTGTGAGAGATAAGCCTATATAACAAAGATGGAGAGGGACCCCTTTTGAAAGTCTCGATTGTATCGAACTCAAACACAATAAAAAATATCCCCCCTCCCACCTTGTCGCACCACACAGGCACACAAGCGACGACGACCCCCCCCCCCATTTACAGATTAGGTTTGTTCAAGCCAATTCTCGGTGAGACTGGGAGAGACTCTGATGGATGCCTTCGAGAAGTGTGTTCTTCTCCGAGTGTCTCCGAGAGACTCTGACTGTCCCCGAGAATGTATATGCACACGTTAGGTTAGAACAGACTGAACAGACCTATACCTCTTTTTCCATCAGGCAACAAAGCCTACGGTCGCAACTATATATTTATGTTGACTGAGGGTGAGATTACATGGAGTCTGGCAGTCTGCAGACTGGCAGAATCGCGCTAAGTTTAAATTATGTTTAAATTATAACATCTCAGAATAATTTAGTAAAATAAAGAAAAAATTGTAATTATTGTCATAACAGAATAAAGGCTTAGTTACAATCAATTTCATTTACAATAAAACGTGTCAAATATTATTTAATAACTTTTATTATAGATTTATGTTAACATTGCACAGTCGGTCAGTAGGGTCACTGATGTAACCTGGTATGTATAACAATGTGTAACTGTGACAAAACGTTTTTCGTTGCCTTTTTTTTCATAAATATTAGTTAATACAGAAATGCAAATGTATTACGATAATTATTTCTTTGCTTACGTAACAAGTTTTAAATATTAATATTGAAACATATTTTAAACTTGGCGCGATTCTGCCAGTCTGCAGATTGCCAGACTCCATGTAATCTCACCCTGACTGAGAACACAGTACAGGTCTGTTCAGTCTGTTCATTCAATTTGAGTTTAGCGGAATAGTGGAACCCCCTTTTCAATATGAACGTTCCAATGAAATAAGCAAAAAATGTCTATGTGAATGCTCCATAGGATTTTAATTTATCTAACCTAACGTGTGCATATACATTCTCGAGGACAGTCAGGTGAGTCAGGTCAGTCTGACTCAGTCAGACTAGTCAGAGTTCAGAGTCTCTCGGAGCTCGGACCTCGGACTGCTCGGAGACACTCGGAGAAGAACACTTGTTCATTCCATTCTCGGAGGCTCCCGCAGTCTCACCGAGAATTGGCTTGAACAAACGTATTGTTCACGGAAGGTGAGTAACTGAAACTGAGTGTATACACTATAGTGTGTGAATGAGACCGAGAAGACGACGACTTAGCGTTAGCGACCGATTCGAGGATAGTCGACGTCGAAGCTCGTGGCGTAAATAATGGTTCCTCGACGAATTCCGCTAAAATCGCAGTTAGGCGTCTTAAAATAATCGGGACACAAATCTGGCTCGTGTGGTGGAAAAGCGTGATAAAAGTGCCAAGCAAGAGAAAGCAGAAGGTAGCCGGAGAGAACCGTCGGTTTGCATTCGGATTTCGGAATTTTACACAAAACGGAGTCTACATACTTTACACACAAAAGAGTAAGCGCGTGTATGTTGTGTGTGGTGTGGCATTTCGCACGTATCTGTACCTGTATATATAGAGCTGTAGGTAGATTTAAAGTGTGCTGCGTGTGCGCGTCATATTGCAAATTCACGACTTTCTAGTAAAAAAAAAGGAATAAGTATGTGAAGCTTTGACATCGAGCGCGGAGTGTACGTGTATAAGTACACAACCTATTATTATTTCCAAATTCGTGTTTTCCTGATCTTATGGTCACACGTCACGTCACCATCGTCCTCGTCGTCGTCGTCGTTTGTCATTGTCAAGTCAAACAAGGAGAGAAATATAATAATCCCCTCTTACACACGGCTTACCTATCCATTTTGGAAAATGTGTAACTCTCAGCTTGCTCATTATCATCATCATCATCTCTCTATCGCAACGAATTGATACCACAAGAGTGCAGTATATATATCATAGCATCTATAATCTTCCGTCTATATACTTAGTCTTCAGTTTTTTTCTATCTTCTTCTGTTCCTCGTCGTCGAGAGATTGACTCTTTCTCTTTCGCACGGCACCAGCTTTTTTTTGTTGTTTGTGGATACGATGCAGACGAAGAGACGCGCAGCTCTGTGTGCTAACAAGGTAAACAATTTGTTCATATTTTCTCTGATAAATTGCTAATTTATACATCTGCTTCGTAATTTCTGCACGTTATCTCTTTGTGCGTCGTGTATCAGTCGGAGCAGCGCAACTAACTATACTCTTATAGGTACCTCAATGAGGAAAATATGTCGCGCTTTTGTGCGAGACCTACTTTTCAAGGTCAACAGTCTCACATATGACCCTAGTTTTTGGCTATGTTCAGAAAATTTTATTAAATGCTCCGTAAAATTTTGGTCGTAATCTCATGATTTTTTTCTTGTGAATGAAATTAAGCACATGAATGCATCAATTTGGTCAAGGCTGTTTGAGTTCTCGCTCGTTACATTGAATTATCAGAGAGTGGCCTTCAATTTCCTTCAATACTGAAACCTCATCCTAATACTACGTTCCGTTATTACTTGAACTTGAAATATTCATACCATGAAGTTTATGTTATTGGCTACCATATGCAATATGGTTAAAGTTAGCTACTCGGAAAGAAATAAAAATTCAACAAAGAACGCTAAATATTAACAGCTGTGATTGTTTGGTTTTACAGATATAGGTTTTTTTAAGAAGATATTGGATATAACATTGAAAAATGTTGTCTGACGTGAACAATGCCAGGAACAGCAAGGCAGCCGAGATTGCAGAGGAGTACATGTCCTCGCTTCAGGAGCTCGCCAGCAACAGCAAGCCGCACATCAACATGCTTACGATATTAGCTGAAGATTACATCGAATTCGCATCAACTATTGTCGAAGCAGTTGAAGCCCATCTACAAAAGGTTAATTTCTTTACTGGATAATCAATCTTTACTATTGATACTTTACTTCTGTGATATAGCATAGATTGGCGGATCTGATGATTTCATTCAGGGAAAAGATATTTCCCAACATAAAATCAAAATTACTTTATTAATCTTGTACCATTGGCAAACAAATTTTTATATTTGTACTTTCATTAATCAATTCATATTATTCCTACTTAATTTTTATTTGACACATCTCGAGAAATTTCATTGTATTTTGAACTATACATCATTCTGATGCAATAACGAAAATAGCTGTATTGGCAGGATAAAATTAATTGACAATCAAATTTTTCACTGAAATAAGTTTCTATATACTTATGGTGATTAATATTTTCATTTAAATAGTATTTTTAGGAGTTTGGTTTAAAAGTTTAAACATGAATGTGCATGCATAAAATATAATTATATATTTTGTAATTGTACAAAAAAAGTTTTAGATCTAGAACAATATATGTTAGCGACAAATTATAATAGTCCAGTTTCTTATGATAACTAGTCCACAGCCATCGTAAGTTAGCATTCAAGAATCTGTGATATTTTATTCAATTTTATATATTTTTGTGTACATGAAAATAAATATTTAACAAGAATTTTTCTATCCAACAAGTGTTCTTTTGTTAACTATAAACATCCACAAAGTCATTACTTTAAATCATTGTTGATTCTAACGTTTTTTGTTCTTTCAAATTTACGTTTTAAACTGAAGATAGCTTGAGTAGCATAAGCTACTTGTAAAGTACAAGATAGATTCATTCAAGATGACTCAGGAAATAATTTTTGACATTAAAATCTTTATTAACGTTCAGTATTATTTAAATTTGCTTTTATATTGGAATAAATCAAAACTTAAAAAAAATAAAAAAAAAAAAAGATAAAAAAAGGAATATCACAGGAAGGATAGAGTAAGTATTATGTGTTCACCAGGTACAAAGTTCTCTCAAGCTTGCGGTGCTGTACCTCATTGATTCGATTATCAAGAATGTTAATGGAGTTTACTCAAGTCTGTTTGCGAATAATATTGTTCAAACATTTTCCGGCGTCTTTCAAAAGGTAATCCTATTAATTTGTACACACGTGTATTAGCACCTTTATTTAAACACAAAGTCTACATTAAAACTAATTAAAACCCTTCAGGTGGATGAAAATACCAGAGGCAAAATGTGGAAATTAAGACAAACATGGAATACTATTTTTCCTGCTGATAAACTTCTAGCATTAGATGTAAGTGTGCACGGTATTGATCGAAATTGGCCAATCGCAACGCTACCATCAAATTCTACACCCTCAAAGGCTATTATTCATGTGAACCCCAAATTTTTGGTAAATAATAAAAATGTTAATTGTGTTATGAAGTGAAAAAGATTCGATCTCTCATTCTTGATATTTTTTTGTCTACAGCAACAAAAAGTACAACAACCACAACAAGCAACAAAGCCACAAGAAACAGAAAAACCGGAAAAAACTAATTCAATCTCGGAAGAAGAAAGAATCAGGGAAGAGTTGTTGAAAAAAAGTAAACATTTAGAGGAGTTGAAAAGACAAAGAAAATTGTTAGAACAGCAACAAAAGGAGTTAGAAAGAACGACACAAGCCCTTATTAAACCCAAAACGGTAAAAATACATCATTTATGATTAAATATCTTTGTAAGAAGTCTTTTAATGCAAAACACCAAATACCTTTTTAGCATTCATCTGATGGTAGCTCAAAAAAATCCTCAAAAACCACTGTGCCTTCTGATGGTAGCTCGAAGTCAAGAAAAAAAGAGGTATATTAATTTTTTTACATCACTTTATTAAAATTGCTTTTTCCTTAAAGCATTATAAAGAATTCTAAGAGATGATTTTTCACTTTTAGACAAAAACGAGTGAATCTTCAAAGACGCCGACAAAAGAACAAAAGCCGACTAGAGAGACGTTAAACATATTACCAAAGGATCCTCGGCTAAAAACAGCAGCAGCGATACAAAACGGGAGCAGCAGCGTCAGTCCTAAGATCGAGGAGAAACCGCAGCGGAATCATGACCACCATCAGTCCAGGACTTCGTCAAAATCCTCTGAACACAGCAACAGCAGATCCAGCAGTAAAAGTTCCTTATTTAGCGCTAGTCCGGTAAAAATCCGCGATGACACTGCTCCGCGCTCCGATAGTAGTCAGACCACTGCGAATGCTGATTTATCACTGATTATGAACGACAATAAAAGCCTTGATAATGACCGTATCCAAAGATCTAGTACTAGTAGCCAAAAAACAACATCGTCAAACAACACAATCACCGCTAACCAAGGTGAAGCGCAGTCGGGGAATTCTTCGGAGCGCTCGCCGTCGAGGAGTTCCTTGACTCGCGGCACCTCCTCCTCTTCTTCAAAGTCAAAGTCAAAGTCGTCGTCGTCCTCCTCGTCGCGTAGCAAATCCTCCCGCACTAAGTCCCATGGCGAGACTGCCTCAAACACCTCGTCCTCGTCCTCCACGTCCTCTTTGCCCCGGAAAAAGTCCTCCAAGTCGCGGAAGCGTAGCCGTAGCCCGCATCATCACCACAAGCATCACCACCATCACTACCACAACACGCCCAAGCAAACGCAGCAACAGCAGCAGCCACCGCCACCGCCGCCACCACAGGGTGTTGATGAGGAGGAGCAGTTTGGTGGATCGTTGATCGTATCGCCACCACAGCCAGTGGTTAACGCGTTTAACAAGGAGTCAACGTCATCGAAACAGCGACGCGACAGTGGCAGTAGCGGCAGCAGCTCACGCGCTAAACGCAAGGAAAGGAGCAAGAGTCGCAGCCACAGTCCCGATATCAGTTGCAAGAAGCGAAACTCTTCTGGAGACAAGGACGAGGATCTTAGATCTTCTCTGCTCGTGGCCAGCAGTGGTGTCGTGCCAGCAGTTGTGCCTGCTCTGGACTCGAGTGAGTTGTTGTCTACTCTGTCTGGAGTATTTTTCTGGGAATCGAGACAAGATTGTCCTGGAAAATTCTTGAGACTGTTGAAACTTTTTTTTATTGTACATCTGCAAAATTGGTTTTGATGGGTTTTGTATGGGTTGGCTGAGAAGAAAACAGGGCAAAAACGATAAGTTAATACAGTGGCTGAGAGTGTTACTTTTGTTACTTCTTTTTTTTATTCAAATGTCTTTCGAGATTTT